AAAAAAAGAGAGAAAATGCTATAAAATGTCAAACAATATTAGGTAAAAAATGTGAGACAAAAATTAGACAAAATATGTTGTGTGGAAAATCTTTTAGAAATATGATATCCAGAAATCCAAAAATATGGAAAAAATATATGAAAAATGTTAAAATAAGTCAAGTACTTCTGTTACACACATCTGTGCTTGTGTGACTGGCTGCAATGGAAAGGGCAGCAAATGGCTGAGCGCTCCAACAAACATTTACTTGGTCAGAATACAAGACAAGAGATGTGGAAGAATTCACCTGCAACAAGCGCAGAAGAAAGACATTTGAAGCCTGAATTAATTTGGAAAGTTTCTCGTGGACTCTTGTCTCAGATGAAACCCTCCACCTCTTGAAGTTTACATGCTTTGTTTGTTTGTACAGTGGTAGCTTTTCAAGGATGCATAACCTTGCTTTTAATATTTTTTTGTATAATTGTTGAAATTGCTTCTTTCACATTGCGTCAGGGTGACATTTTAGTGTAAAAACTGGATGGTGAAAATAAATATGATGCTTTGGTCTCTTCAGTTCTCTCAATAGTCCAGTACAATACGCCAAATAGGGACCCCGAGGGGGCCTAGAGACTGTTTTTAAAGAGATCCATTTGATTAAAGTAGAGGGCTCGATGCCACCTGTAACTTTGCACCTATTCCTTTGAATAGAAAAGAAAATAGAAAAACCCTTGTGGCCCGATGAGTAAACTGTGTGTTAAATGCTCGTGTAAAAAGGTTTTGTTCTTGCCGTCGTCTCCTCCACTTTCTCTTTGCGACAAGGCTTATGTGTAAAGGGCCCCGGGAGGGAGGCGGAGGAGCCATCTGTTGCTGCTTTAGACAGCTGCTGCTCAGATGTGTGCACACGCACACACACGCACACGCACACACGCATTAACCGGAGGCCCCGTGGCTCCAGATGGCACAGCCTCATGGCCAGACACGGAAAGTTGAGACAGCGCACACAGAAAGTGACACGGCGACACGAACGCCTGCATATTCACGAGTGTTTTATTAGAGGCGAGCTGCTGCTCCTCCTCATGGCCCCTCAGATCACGTTTCCACAGCGTCCCGTTTTATTTGCTTTAATTAAATGTGACAAAAGGACGGAGGTGGGGGGGAGATGAGGGGGAAAAAGGGCTTCTTGGGTTCACTGCTTGGTGGAACAGTCTTATTCCCAAACTGGATGCAGAAAGACTGAAACCAACCAAAAATAAATACACTTTTCTGGGTAGGCGGACACACTCGCGCGATTAATACTTGGTCCGACGATGTTTGCGGGGGGGGGAAGTTCCCGTCGGATGATGAATGAGACCTCCGGGGCGAAGGATGGCAAGACAAACACCAGAGCATCGCCAAGACGACAGCGGGAGGCGGGGACATCTATCACGCCAAGGTTGCCACGACAACCTGTCGCCGGTCGTCGGCGGGGCGGCCGCGGCCCTCGAGCGGCAAGCAGAACATCTCATCAACAGTCCGTGAAAAGGACAGGAGGGAACTACGGGGGAAGAACTTTTGAAGGGAGACTAAAGAGAAAAACACACACGAGGCCTGTGTGTGTCCGTGTGTGTCCGTGTGTGTGTGTGTGTGACATCTGGCCTTCAGAAACTTTTAAACACCCGCCTGCACTGGGAGCAGGAACCAAATTACATTTACATCATTTACATTGTGTGATTGTTTCAAACACACCCAATATCTCGTATAATAATTCATTTTCATGTAAATTTAGTATGAAATGAGTTTGTGGGTCTTTGTGTCTGTGCGGTCCTGCTTCACGTGATGAGACAACGCCACCTCTCTGACTGTCTTATCTCACTTGTCCCCGTTGGAGCGGCTTGTGTCTTAGTCAAACACTAATGACTGAACTACACGGAGCAAAAGATCTTACGTCTTCAGCAAGAACAGCCGGCTCGGAAACAAACACATCCAGACCAAATAATCCGCAGGCTTCCCATTTCTGCACGTTACGCGTATGGCGCCGTGTCCTAACAGCAGCACGCGCTGCATTCTGACCCCCGTCCAGAAATTAATAAGCACATTGAAAAACATGGAAGGTCAAATCTTCCATTAAATCCCCTCGTATTAACACAGTGGATTCCTCTTCAGCTGTGAATGTGCTGACTGGGTGTTTTCCTCTGACCTCTCTATCACGTACGTAGTGATGCTGCTTTAAGCTCCTCATGAATCTTAACCACTAATGACGCCATCATTCGACGTCTTTCACTGTTGATGCTCTGCTCAGATCCCTCGCGGTGGATTAACCGTGGTCCAAAATGCCTCTGGGAGGAGAGTTCTGTGAGACACAAACACCTCCAGAGAGAAGAAGAAGAAGAGGAAGAAGAAGAAGAAGAGGAGCGGGCGATTGAACATTCCCTCCATGGCATCATAACATGACGAGTGACGTGCTCTGGATTATTTCTGCACAAGGACACGCTGTGAACGCTCGCCCTCCTATCGAGACCCCCGCCGTGCGTCTCCCTCTTCCTCCCCCCCTTTCCTCATTACTTACTCCTCGCTGCCTCCTCCTTTTCTTTGGCCTTCACTCAGTCCTCATTGATCCCCGAGGCTTCATGACACCTGGTACCGGCTGGTTCAACGCGGGTCGACTGCAGGAACCTCTTCTCATTTCCGATGACGCGTCACACCGACATTGAAAGGAGTGTGATTTTTTTTTTGGTAATCATTTCCGGTGAGATGGACAGAAACGTTCTGACGAGCTGAGCCTGCTGGAAAAAGACCAGAAATATTGTCAATTAACCGCTGAAGTAATGATGTTATTATGGGCTGAAGAAGTTTCAACACACCAGTTTCATTCTACTGCAAATCGCTTTACTGCCCTCCATTGCGATCCACGTCAGCAATGTTGACCAAAGCATTGAAGCCGTCACTTTAAAGCAAAGTAAAGCTGCCTATTAAGGTGGCGTTAGATGTCTTGTGTGTTAAACAGCTAATGACGCGTCAATGATGTGCAGTAATTACTCTGACAGTCCGATCTATTCTTAGTCCTCAGCAAATAATCCGCCCTGACAGCGGGGACGGACGTCCAGCATGTGTGTGCTGCACGTCAGGCATGTAATGGCATCCACAGGGGGGAGTCCTGGGTTACTGTGTGTGTCTGTGTGTGTGTGTGCGCGCGCTCTTGACTGTGCAGGGGGTACGACCTTGTCGCTCCCGATCAGTTGTCAGTCCTCCTCCAGATGCTGACAATCACCTTCTCGTCTCACACACACACACACTCTTTTGCCCTGTGGGCAATATATATTTTGATATTGGGTGTAACATCGACCCAAATTAGTTTTAAAATGGAAGCGGGTCGGGCATCCAGACTACTGAGTTGCTGATTATAAAGGACACACATGACCACGTGTGACCCCATGAGTCTTTTACAAAATATTTGCTGTTGAATTTTCACTTGACCAAAGAATTTAAATTCTTCTAACTGCCGGTTGGACTCCGCGTCGGCCTCGGGGTCTGACGGGTCGAGTCACAGACTGCCGCCTCTTCTCGGGACGACATGGTCGCTTAAGGATGCGACGCCTGAGGATTTAAGCCACCTCAGAATTCTAATTTCTCACCTCAACGCGACCATTATTGGGACGTTCCGCTTCTCGCAGGGCATTCAATCGCATTACGGAAGAACGAGATGCCGTGATGGAGATATAAATGAAAGACAACGAGGACGAGATATCTAGACACTGATACGCTGCTGTGATAAAATAAATGCAATGTGGCTGCTTCAATGTGAATAAATCAGCATTTTGAGAAGCCGTTATTTGCTCTTTTTGTGCAGATTACATCTGTGTTCTTCCACCTGACCAGCTCGATAGCAGTGACGATGGAATGAAATAAGTGGAATGCAGCTGGAAATTGCTGACCTGAAGTTAGAGATATGAAGAAGAAGAACAAAAATAGTATAAAGGGCATCGAGTAAAATGTCCAAACGCAGGTCGTGTTTCTCTGTGGTCTCCTCCTTTCTTGCTTCCTGTTCAAAGCACATGTTTGTTCAACCTTGTAATGCACTGAAGAAATGTTCAACCCCAGAATCTTGAAGATTTTTTCTTATCTGTGGTCGTTTTAGAAGGTCATTTTCTGTCAGATTTGACTTTTTAGAACGTCAGTATCTCAACTTCCTGAAGGGCGGGTTGCCATTTCCAGGACGGCACAGACTTTATTTTAGAAGATAAAATCTCTTCTAAAAAAGTGTTATTCTACATACACTGTTCTCTCCGTGTTAAAGGTTTATGACCATAAACACACGAAAAGGAAACTTCCTTTGACTGGATTAACAATAAATAAGCTCTAATGAACAGCGGATGCTGCTTAAACTTAAAACCAATGGTGATATTTTACAATTCAAACCGAGGTGGTCCAATTAAGCATCAAGTAAAATAACTTGTTCGCGTAATAAATGCATCCCAATGCGTGCGGTGAGTTTTTCGCGTGAAGAAAGTCTGAAGAATTCTGCCACAGTCCAAGCAGCACAGCAGGAGCTTCCCTTCGGGCCGCTGTGGATGCGCCTGAGCGCCTCTGGGATCAATAAAGTCAAGCCTCATGCATGAGGACGGTCACAGCGAGCGCCGTTTGTTCAGAGCCTGAGGTAAAAAAAAAATAAAGGAAATCAAGAAGTCAGAGGAGCGCAAGAGGGGAGGTGTCGAGGTGTGTGTGTGTGTGTGTGTGTTTGTGTGTGTGCGTGCGTGTGTGTGTGAATTCACTTGTGGAGGCGTTCACTGTTCACTGTTTTTATCCTTGAGACAGACTTTTCGATCTGCCACATTGGTCCAAACGGAAATAGGTATACTACTATTTGATGTGCTGTAACCATTTATAAATCTGATTAAATTCCCATCACTCTTATTTTTTCAGTTTACTACTATATATATAAGATAAATTAATGAATATAAATTAAGTCTCTAATGTCTGTAAGTGGACTTTTGAATCAAGGCAACAAATCATGAGCCAAACGATCCAATGAATGAAATACAAAACCAGCTTAATACAGCTTTTTATTAGAACATTCAAAAGGAAGTAAAACTTCTTTACATCATCCATCACTGACAAAACGTAACGAACCCATAAACAAAATGTGAGATGCGCAGGTTCGGAAGCAAAGCTGAGCCCCGAGAAGTCATTACCCATTTGAGTGGTTTGAGGAGGTCGACGCTGGAAAGAGGCCGAAGCGACACGTCTAAAGAGAAAACTCGCACAAGCTGGAAGGTTTGTTTGGATAAAAACAAGTGCTCGCTCATCGGGTCCATAGATTTCTCTCGTGTCCCATATCTCTCACTGCTTCGGGCGGCCATCGGCTAAGCTACGAGGTTGCATGTCCATCTTCATGGAGCGTGCGTGTGTGTTTTATTTCTTGCGGTAGTCGTTGGCGTAGGCTCTGTGATCCTCCTGCTCGGGGTACTGGTCGCCGTAGCGCCTCAGTATGTCCTGGAGGCTCGGCATGCCCTGGGACAGCGGCTGGTAGGGACTGCGAGGCTCCTCCTGGCCGCTCTGGAAGGGCTCCGGCTCGTACTGCTCCGGTTCCTGCTGCTCGCTCTCTGCCGCCCCCTGGCCGCGGTGGTCGTCCTCGGCGCGGCGCTCGGGCTGGGCCTCCTCGCGGCGCCGCAGGCGGCAGTTGCGGTCGTACTCGGGGTCGCAGTGCGGGTCGGAAGGCTCCACCACTCCGCTGCGGCTGCCGTCGGCGTTCAGGTGGGGCTCGTAGGCCTCGGCCGGGTAGGGGACGCGGCGGTGGATCCCGGAGCGAGGCTCGGCGGGCGTCGCGGGGAAGCATTCGCGATCGTAGCCGATGAAGCAGTCGTGGCCCTCCTTGGTTTTACCCGGGGGCCCCAGAGGGTGGCGCTCGTCATGGGCGGGCTCCTCATAACTGGGATTGGCAAAAGGGAACTGCTGCCTCGCGGCCGGTTGCCCGCGGCGATGCATGGCAGCCGCCGCCTCGCGGATTGCGGAGAAAGGGTCATTGGGGTTGGCCTCTGGAGCGGCCTCTGCGTGCGGGCCGCCCCCCCTGTGTGTCGCGTACGGGTTGTTACCTTGAGCTTGGGCCATGTATCTGCGCAGCATGGCATACGGGTCATTAGCCGGGGGAGTAGCTGGAGCAGAAGCTGCGGCGCTAGCCTGGCGGTACATGGCGTAGGGATCATTAACTCTGTTCGCGTTGGCATAAGCATCCCTGAACGTGGCGTAGGGGTCGTTCTGCACGGCGGGAGGAGCGGCGCGGATGGCCGCGGCCTCGTCTTCTTCTTCACTTTGATAGGCCTCAGGGGGGGTGGCGAATCTGGTGGCAGTGAGGGGGTTGCAGCCCTCTTCGTACAGTGGGTTGCAGGATCCGGGTCCGGCGGCGGCGGGAGGGTTGGGGGCACGGGGCGCCTGGGGGGGGGGGGGAGCACACGGGTCATTAGAATCAAAGCAAATGAAAAGAGGAAGCAGCCGCTGCGACAAACAAGAGCGTACCACGAGGGAGGCGGCGTGGGCACAGCGGGGATCCCGTGGATCGCAGTTGGGGTACTGCAGGTAGAGACCAGAGGGGGCTTTCTGCACCAGCTTGGGTTTGCAATTGGGGTCTTTGCTGGGGTCACAGCCGAGGTGGGAGTAGGAAGGCATGGGCCCGGCGGAGGGTCCGTACCCGTAGGCCGCTCTCAAGTGGTACTGCAGGCACTCGACATCGTCAGAGGCGCAGATACGCAGCAGCTCGGCCTTCTGCTCCTGAAGCACAAGAGATACAGGGAGGGATGGTTGAAGGATGTTATTGGTCCAAGGTCCCTGTAGGGAGACTTCTTTATCATCCTCTGGGATTTTGGCAAAACCTTCAGGCTGTAAGACTATTTCGAACCCCTTAAACATGCGAATACCCCGTCATTAATGACGCTTCGTATCATTCTACCCCTCAGACTGAATTCTTTAAATAAGAAAGAAGACTTTGTGGAAGCATACCTTAGAAAGGAAGGACGCTGCGGATGGCGAGTAGTAGTAATACCCAGACTGGGGGTCCTTCGCCGGAGCAGCGGAGCGGGCATACTGCGGGGCCGGGGCCTTCACTGGTGCCGGGGCGGCGGCCGGGAGCGCCAGAGGCTGGTAGGGGCTCTTCCCCTGCACCAAAGCGGCGTACAGGCAGTAGGCGTCCTGCGTGGGGTCACAGGTTTTCACGGGCGCGGGTTTAGGGGCCTCCGGCTTGGGCCTGCTGGTGTAGGAAGACACGCAGTTGGGGTCGTCGGAATCGGCGCAGGACTTGTAGACATCCCCAAGGTGGCGCAAGTAGGCCTTGTAGGAGCGGCGTCCCTCCGCGCGGTTCTTGTTCTGGAGGTAGGCCAGGTAGATGCGGTCCATCTCCTGAACCTGAGCGGTTGAGGACGAGGTCATTGGTGAACAAGGGCACAGGTGCGACGTCTCTATTTTATTAAACCACGCAGCAGGCGTCTGTGTGTGTGTGTGTGTGTGTGTGTGTGTGTGTGTGTGTGTGCTTACTGCCTCCTGGTTGCCGTTGTCAGTGAAGTACTTGTACCAGCCCCAGAAGTCCGAGTTCTGTTTGTACCAGCTGATGTTCCTGCGGTTTCGGATCAACTTGCGGTGAAGCTCTGCAGCGGCTGCAGTCTCCTGGACGGCTTCTCCCGCTGAGGGGAGACGGGAGAAACGTGGGCGCTGCTGATCCGCATCCAGTTTATAAAAACTTCATTTATAAAGACATCAAAAGGAGCCCTCGTTGTACTTGCTGCCATCTGACATTAGATATTAAACTGGATCATGATCGGAAGCTGATTTTTCATACAAACACAAACCCTCGTGTGTAGGTAAAAACGCACACATATTTACCATCTTCTTTTGGCTTTTGCACAATCGGTCCGGCAGACAAGAATGCTGCAAAAAACGGAGAAAAGCAAAAGCAGATGTGAGGACCCAAAAGTTGCCGCGGTCAAAATCATTTTTTTGTAAATTGCTTACTATTAGTATTGTGACCTTTAATTGTGTCTGTTATTCATAAGCGATAACGTGTGTCATCAAACCTCCACGCACACCAAACCACGGCGGACATGGTTGGTTAAATACGGCGGGGCTTATTGGCGGCGCCTGGAACGCTGGCGACTGGCAGCTCTTTGTAGATTTTATAGGTGAGCCTGTAACATCGCACCCCGCGGTGCCTTTTCAAAGGGCCGTGTGCACACGCCTGTGTACGTGCACTGTTTGACCCCCACGCGGCTGAGAGAACAGCGCCGTCAGCTCTGCTGCGGGTTGCTTTCATCTCCACAGGGGAAAGGTGTTAATGTCTTACAGAAGAGGAGGAGGAGGAGGAGGAAGAGGAGGAGGAGAGCAGACGTCCGGGGTGGCGTGACGCGCGTCGGAAACAGAAAATGCATCAATCTGCTGCTTCTAAGAAGCGTCCTGATGCGGAAGATGTGAGCCAGACGTCACCGAGTCAAACATTAAAGGGAAGAAAGCAAAGGTGTGAATTTACAGAGAGGAGCACTTTTAAAAAGTACACAAGTTAAGGTGACCTGAGGTGACGGAGCAACGAGGCGGAGGAGGGAAGGGAGGAGGGAAGGAAGAGGGAGGGTGGGGGCAGTGGAGGGGGGGGGGGTTAAATGATGCTGTCACGGTGTATCCGCTGTTTCGATTTTTTACGGGCCCATAAAAAAACAGGCGGGCACATCTGGAAACAACAGCTTTAAGAGGGCGGAGGAGGAGGAGGTGATGCTGACAGGTACTCATTTTTTACATGAAAGAGACATTTTCCCCCTTTAACCATTTTGTAACCATTTCCAAAGGAAGCCCCCTCCCCCCCCCCCTTATGAATATGACAGTCTATAGAGAGCAAAGTTGGAACAGGTGGTGAAGGAGACACCCGTCCACATGTTGAAACATCATATGGGACATATGGAAGTTAATATAAAATATAAATAGGAGTCAAATTATTATTACATTGCAATGCAAAGTAAAAAAGAGCATGATTTTGACTTTAAATTGTATACTTATACTTTATACTGATACTATTTCCTGATACTTAGGAAAATACTTTCTACTCCACTGCGTTTATAACGGAGTCGTAGCTAAAAGGGGTGCGATGTAGTGATAATCAAAGGATATATATCGTCACACTGACGGTGGTTCCAACGGTTTAAATGTTTAAGAAAGTCTAGAAGAAAGTTTAGAAATCAGGTTTTAAGTAGAAAATCAAACAATTGTAAACTTTTTCCAGCATTGGCTGAAACGCAACAAGAACAGCCCATGATCCGGTTTTCAGACGATAAATGTGTTTAATGGATTGAAGGTTTCTTGGCGTTGAAAAGGAGGCTGATTCTCACGTGTGTGTATGAACGACTCCGTTAACAACCTGCTTATCACGTTGCTCCTTTGTAGGAGGGGACATTACTGCCCTTTGGGTTCATCATTTCTCCTCCACGATGCCTTTTCTCCAGCACGCTGGGAGTCGCCCGTCAAACTGAACTTTTGCTTTTTTTTATTCAAGACATAAGCTCATCATTCAATGACAACTAACATGACTATTTTTTAGATGTTTTTATGTAATTGTGTCTTTGTTTGCTTTGAAGGAAAAGCACCCATTAGTCAGCTGAGAATAGGACATTAGAGCCAACGGGTGGGTGAAAGCGTCCTTTGTGAGGACGCAAACTCGTCCGCGGGGAACGGCGGTAATTTATTTCTATTTGCTTTAGTGTGGTGAGTTCATCAGCGAGAGTAACTAAGTACATTTTACTCATTTCTTGTTTCAGATAAAGATACAGAACACGTTAAGCTCATTCATGCAATTTTCCATCTTTTCCATTATGTGAATAGCTTGATGCTTTTATATCGTTATTAACATTTTACTCTTTTGGTTATTTAAGTCGGTCACCTGTGCAGCGAGTGTCTCTAAAAGCCACGCGTTGATCAATCAGTACTCACCAGGCAGCAGAATCACAGCCAGCAGAGTTGTGGTGACGACGCCGGAGAAACCGCTTCTCCTCCTTCCAGCCATGACTTGACCTCCTCCTCCTCCTCCTCCTCTGCCGAGGAAGAGACGTTCACAATGATGCTCAGCTGGAACCAAAGCTCTCCATCGCTTCAATCCTTACACACCAACACAATATCCACCATGACAACAGACGCAGGACCAGAGAGGCCCTCGGATTACGTTTTCCACCAATTCCCCCTGGGCTGCGTCTTTAGACGCAGACCTTCAGAATAAAAGCCCTGAAAAGTTTGTCACCTTCAAGAGAGCAGAGACACACCCTCTAAATCCCTGCAGCAGGGGGGGTCGATTCCCTCCCCGCTCACGACCTCAGACCTGTGCGAGTGCTGCTAAAGTGAACTAACAGGTTGATACGAGGTTTCCTGATTCTGATTCTGAAGCTTCTGTAAAAAGAAAACCAGCTCCGACCGGGACTCGAGTCCCCGGTTAAGAACCTTCTTCTTCTTCCTTTTTTCAGTAAACACGCAGAAGTGCAGAATCCCTTACCTGTGCTTATCTTATCTTCGTTCTGCGGTTCCAGATGTGGACTCGAGTGAAGTCGCCAGACCAGGTGACTCGGGCTCAAACACTGAGTGTGAGTGTGTGTGTGTGTGTGTGTGTGTGAGTGTGTTTGTGTGCGTCTGGAAGGGGCTCCTGGTGCACCCGGGTCCCCGTGGCCTTTCTGACTGACCTGAAGAAGGAATCTGGCAGCGTTTTAAACCGAGCCCGTTCATTAGCCCACCTGAGGGGGCCGAGGGACGCCTCAACGAGGTGCCTGATTGGGCAGAGCCCTCAGAAAGTCTCGGCCAATCAGAGGCCCCCGTAATTAAAGACAGGAAGCGAGAGACGGTGGGAGGGCCGGGATCACAGATGGAGACGTGGAGGGAAACTGTCCCGAGTGTTTTGGGATTCAACGCTATTGATAGTTAATTCACATTTAAGGCGAGAAGAAGGGTACTTTTTTCTTTTTGATGCAAACAATCCCTCCGAAGCAACAAACACCCAAAAGATGGAAAGTGGAACGAAGACAGACATCAGAAAATAATGAGGGGGAGCCGAGGTGCCACATAAGCACTTCTCAGAGACCCTCGATGAGGGCCAAACCACAGCTTCTGTCTAAACCCCAAACACACACACACACACACACACGAAAGACAGCTGGTCCACACATGAGGAATTTGATAATCTACAGTTCCCTCCTGAGTTTAACTGTGTCCGGGCACGCCAGCAACACACTGCTGCACACAGGCACGGGCTGTAGAGGCTCTCTGCGTGATGCAATATCAGCACATCTCAAGCCATTAGCCAGGGACTTTTTATGAGGTTTGTGCTCAGGCCGGCTGCTGGTGACATTTTATCAAATTAACAGCAATATTGCAATCTGGTTTTTCACACCAAAAGTCATTAAACCTCAAATAAATCATGTTTCTTGCATAAAAAAAAAAACGTTTTCTTTTACTTTTGCATGTAGTGCATTTAGGAGCGAGGCCACCTTGGGAACATGGTGCTTAACTTCCCTATTTCAAGTACACAAAGATACATTTTGAAGTACACTGAAAGTACTTTGTGTAATATTGGAACTGCGTTTTCATAGTTTATGAATAAGCACCGCCTACTTCACACCAGGGCACAAATATTTGTGTTCGAAATGTGATCATAAAATGTTTCTTAATCGATGAACGTCAACAAACAAAAACCTTTTGCCACTTGTAAATTCTGCAATATGTTTTATATTCTAACGCACATGCAGGGTGCAAATACATTTAGGTTTTCTTCATGCAGCTGGTGTGTGTGTCAAAATAAAATAAAATACATTAAAATCTCATTTGATTGCAAACGTTCATACAACAGTAAAGAGATTTTATCGTATATTTACGATACCCAAAGAATTCCAACATTGGAGCGCTGGAGCGGCCCGGTTCTGTTAGGTGTTTTTTTTTTTGTATTTGCACATTTCTTTGCGGCCCCCCTCGTGTCCCATCGTGCCCTAACTGAACATTTAGTGGTCCCGTTAACGCCGCATCTCGTTTGTAATTAAGTTTGCTAACAGGTGTTTCACGGAGCCCACAGACCTACAATCCAGCCGGCAGCAGATTCAAACACGACGACGCCAAAACCATACTCATAATTTTCTCCAAACCTGGAATGTGCGGGATTCCCAGAATTCACAGACACCTGTTTTTTTAGTTGTAAAAACAGAAGGAAAATCTTTATTCCATTAAGATGGTGGAACTCATGTAGGATGGGGGTTGAAGGGGGGGGGGCTGTACAAATAAGAGAGAACCCGTAGTCAGAATAAGCCCATTTCCACGATATGTGTGTACACGGTGACAGGAACACGCAGGACGTCACTGCAGGTCGTCGTCATCGAACAGATCCTCAAAGTCTGCAGTGAAAGAGACAAAAAAAAACAGTTAGTTGGTTTAACGCTCTCTAACTATCACGATTATCCATCAATGGGTGGATTTCTTTGTCTCCTGATATCAAACTTTCTATTTTGCCTTTTAGATTCAAACTGTTTTGGATTCTGATTTCGGGCTCGATGTAAATTGTATTGTGAACTTTTTGACTTGACATTTTTTTGACTTTTCAGAGTTTTCCAACAAGCGAAACGAATCGTTTGCAGCCATTCGTTTGCTGCGTAGTAACACTTTGTGTTTTTACATACATTTGCCAGAATGTCCGTCGGCTGAAAGTGATTCACGCTCGAGCCGCTCGTCCTTTCATGTCGGGGAGGTTCCCAGGCACAGGACATTCCTGCTTCCGCCTAATAAGGGACAGGCAGCGAGTCAAACAGCTTGCCCCTCGGCTACCCATAACCCCTTGCAACGTTTAAACAGAAGCCGCTGCGGCACCGGGAGTCTCCTTTTATTCACGGTTTGAAATGTACGGTGTGTCGCACTGTTACGCTGACCTTTGAACCCGACTTTTTAGCGTCCTTTCTCCCTGTTTGTTGATGTTTACTCCAGATGTTGACTTGCAGATGTGTTTGGTACACACATAAAAAGATGAGTGGCTATAAGAACGATATGGTCGCTTTGTAAACCAAGCGGAGGTTTTGATCTTAGTCGACGAAGATTTTTAAATATTGATTACATTGTGTTAAAGCTTTTGTTCATGCTGCATGTATTCTTTCCATTCATTCCTTCCTTTGACACATTAATAGCATGAAGGGCCCTTGTAGGACTCAATTTCCTGTTGGTGCTTATTTCCACTGAATGGCAGTTTTAGCCGCGTTAACCACCAAGGAGATGTAACCGTGTGTGTGTTTTAAAGCAGCTGACTGGCGAGGTGTCCCGCTGAGTTTCAGTCTGAGAAGGACTATAAAACCCACTTTACCGTCGTCCTCGCTTAGCTTCCCTCGTTCTTTTCTTTCATTCTCTCCTTTTTAACAATCAGCTCTTTTCTTTCTGGGTCATGTGCTGCTGAGCCCAAATTGTTTTGCCCGAAGCCGACGCTGGAAGACGGAAAACAGATCAGCTTAAGTGTTTCACTGAGTCCTCTTGTGTGTGTGTGTGTGTGTGTGTGTGTTTGTTTCAGGGTGTGAAACGGGTGTTTACAGAGTTGACACGATTTTAGAGGGTAAATTTGGAAAGACAATTGGCTCAACGAGAGAAGCTGGATTATTGTGCTTAAATTAAAACTTCAATTCCAATGCAGTTCATCAATAATCCACTTTTCTTCCTATTTTCAGTCCCCCGTTAATAAATATCGGAATATTTAAGTATGTTGAAGTTGACGTGTGCAACTACAAACTCCTAGTGAGACAATGCAAATATTTTGACTTTTAAATTGTGACCGTTATCGTCTGCTGATAGATAACGTTCAAGAAAAAAAAATGTTATTTACTTGCATTACTAGTATTGAAGCTACACATTAGAAAGGGTTTACTTCTTCAACTCAAATGAGACTTGTGTCTGTTGCATCACCTGGTGTGTGTGCCGTGGATTTTTGTAATTTCAGTTGTGATACAAATCATGGAATTTAAGTTGCTACCTGAGACTTTTGCGTCACAACGCGAAATAATAATAAGATTTGTGTTTCACTTGTGCCGACGACAGAAAGCTTTGCACGCCGTCCTGCCGACATATCGCACTACTGTGTTTACAGCGCAGAATACCTAAAGAGAACACAAAATGTGATCATTTAGAAAGAGAAGATGGGGGGAATAAGAAGAGAAAACTGCGTCTGACCATTAAAGAAATCAGAGTGCACCGCTTTCTCATTGGCTGCCAGGTCCATCAGCAGCCCGCTGCTGCCCCCTGCCTGCCAACACACAGCAGCACAACCAGTTAAAAGCCATCAGCGAACCACACATGCGTCCCTTTAATAAATAGTACTACGAGGGATAAAGAGTCTACTAGGGGACAGGGGCATTATTAAAATGTAACATGCATATTATATATATATATATATATATATATATATATATATATATATATATATATATATATATATATTTAAAACTGCAGTCTAGCACAGTGCGAATCCCTCTACGACTTCTGCTAAGAAAGAACTTCCCCACATTCACCAAGCAGACATCAGTCTAGTGTGGAAGGATTCAGACATTGGACGAAGGGGATACGTTGTGTTGCGGGTCTGATGGATCCAACTTTACAAATATGTAACGCAGATCTGAAGTAACGCAATGTCAATACACAACATAAAGCAAAAAAGCACCTTAACGTTACGTGTCTTTACGGACTGCATATAAAGCCTGGTGGGTCATGAAACTCGTCTTACTTTCTCCATCAACACAACGCATTATCGTGATGGTTACGATCATTATTATTTTCCCAGAAAAGAAACATGTCCGACTCTATCCACCAGCAGTAACGTTGCTAAGCTAGCTAGCCAGCACTAGCCCGAATGTGACCCTGGTCGCACCTCGTCCAGGTCCACGTAGGGTCCGGCTCCTTCGGGGAACATCTCGTCCACGGCGGGTTTCATTGCGGCGGAGTTTCAGTTCAGCTGAAAGAACACAGCGGAAAGGACTTTGTGTGTGTTTGAGCTTGCTGCTAGCTGGGCTAGCTTTGGCACACGGAAACAAAACAAATGTGTGCAGCACTAAATTGGGCTCGGCTGTGTCGAACTAGCTTGTTTTAATGGTTCCGGTCCACAGACTGCAGAGTGTAAGATGAGCAGTTTGTCCTTTTAACATTTAACTAAATTCATTTCATCATTATAAACTATTCATCCCTGAATACAGGTATTAATGTTGGTGAGTAAAGCCATTCTTTCTAGAATGACGCAAAAAAACAAACATTATCAAAGGATACTATTTCAACAAATTATGTTGCATTGCATGGAACAGGACGTCGACCGTGTAGATGTTTAGTTGAAAAACCTTTAAAGTCATTTGAGCATTTTTTTTGCATTATTTTGGTGTGTAATAAAGAGATTTACATGAAAGTTAATTACAAGTTCCTAAAAATATACACATGGTGAAAGAAAGCAACCATTCAATTACAGAGAAGAGGATCTGATGATTAAAAATAGTTCATATAAAAAGAAAAAAACATAACAAAGTTGTATAATTTTTTTTTACGTATTTGGAAAATGTTTAATTGTTTGTGACATATTACACAACGATAATATATGATCACCTAGAAAAGCTACATACCCTACATTTCTACATAACTACCCAATATACAGTGACATACTTGTGAAAGTATCCACCTCATTAGGTTTGCCGCGTATTTATTTCCTTATTTCTCGTCATTGTCGTCATCTCTCCTTTCTCAGAGAGCCATTCCCTTTTTTTATTCATGCAGGTCATCACATTGGCTCCTTCCCCTCTTCTCCCTCCCGCTGCCTCCGTTCTGGCCCACTTCAGTGTTCGTGTCCTGCATTGGTCTCATATCCCAGGGTGTCCCCGAGGTGCTGGTGGGCGAAGAAGGCCCGGGCCATCTCGTTGATGTGGTTGTAGGCGCCGATGGACCTGAAGTACTCAACGTAGTTCCAGAAGTCAGAGGTGGAGTAGGGCCAGTAAGGAACAGCTACTGGTTCTTCATAGGGCGCTGGGGACACACAGTGAAGTCAGTGAAGGACAGAAGACGACTGGAAGGACTAATTCACTGATATACTTTCATACACCACATTCTGCTGGTCTGGATCTGCCTGATCTTCAGCTTCAACCAGTTCAGTGTGTTTATTTAATGAGAATTCCAGAATGTATTTGCACAACCCTCAGAGGAAGGGTGTGAACGTGTAGCTTATGTGTGTGAAAAGAAAAGATTTTCCACCGACGAAAAAAATGAGCCAAACCTTGACTTGAAAATGCAACAGGTCGTTGGAATTTAAGAGCACGTTCCTTACTTGAGAAGTTCCATTTCACAATACGCAATAAAATCTAGTCTTGTTTACTCTGCACACGGTGATTATTAATGCAAAATATAGATCTACGAATAAATGATGTATATTTGGGGATTATTAAACTACCCAGCAGGTCGTTATAAGTAGTTATAATGAGGCACACCTCTGCAGCTGCAACAAAAGTAATACGTTTTAATCATTTTTGTGTTCGTTGCAAAATATGAAGGCATTTAAAATGAGACATGTGTATATATATATATATATATATAGTACCTCCGTCTTGGATGACTCTGGCCTCTGTGAGGGGAGAGAGAGAGGGAGAAAGTGGGGACAAAGTTAACATTCCCGAGCATTCCAAAGCTTCCCGGCACAAAGACGGTGATTCAAGTGAAAAACTGAGCTTCCTCACAGAGGGCTGCGGAATACCTTCCCCCTCCTCAAATATTATTGCTGACTATTTTTCACTCACACAAACACACACAGACACACAACTAGACGCACGCACACAGTCTGAGGCCCAAATAATGAATCATTTCACAAAGTCCTCTTTGTACACATGCAGTCACCAAAAACCATCATACATTGTTCATACAGCGCTATGCACGTCTCTGCATTTATGTATCATATCAAATTGGGTTTTCTTACTTTTCAACCGGCTTTTTTTCTACATTCAAACTAATTTAACTTTAGTAAGAATGAATATCAAACTGAAGCATAATTAACTCACTGAGTTGACAAGCAGACAAGAGGAGAACACTGAGGCAGATCAACAGCTTCATCTTTCCCCCCTAAATGAAGAAACGGCACATGATGTGGTTTTAAGAACACGCAGAATAATAATTCCTAATTCCTAAAATCACAACTCAGTCAAAGTAGAATGACACTAAGATGTTTACCTGTAAATGATCCGTGAAGACGTGCAAAGAGGTGCTGCTGCTCTGCTGGTGGACTCGGGTCTTCTGGGTGGGGAGCTCAGGAAGCGCCGGTGGACTTTCACCACGCACACGTGCATCCGCACACAGACACACACACACACACACACACACACACACACAGCCGAGCCTCTCGCAGAGCGTGACGATATACTGATTCATGATTCAGATTTAATATACAAAGAACTAACCCTTATGTTTCACACATTTCACATCACGTAACATCACAACACAATGAACGCAACTTCCTTGAGCATTGATGTTTATTTGTAGGTTTTAAAACCAGATCCACAGACAAAAGTCACAACATGAGGCTCGGGGCGATGCTGGATAAATACTGGAAATCAAAGTGAACCATGCAGAGATTCGATGGGGATTTGCAACACCAGAGCGTACTGGTCCAGTACTGATGCTCGGCCCGTGCTGTGGACCTCTAGGTGTCCTTGCAGCCCGTCTGATCTGTGGGCTTCATCCTGTACAGGTCGATCCCTTCGTTGGTCAGCAGCTCCTCGGCGTATCTCACGGTCTCCCACGGCAGGAAGCGAGAGCGGCCGAGGATCCAGGCGTAGTCGTAGTGGAAGATGTTGAGGATGCTGGTGCAGGAGTAGACGACGGACAGGCTGGTGTAGTCAGTGGTCAGAACCAGGTACGGGCTGTAGGGCGTAACTGGGAGCAAAAGACAGAGATTTTTTTTTAAAAGCAACGTTTATGAGATGTTCTCCCATGAAAACAATGCAAAACCATTAAATACGTGAGACGGGGACGTTTGCGAACGCTTTGGATTCAATTATTCAGGAGATTACAGAGGAAGGAATGTTCAGTCATTTTAAGATCTGAAACATGAATGTTTAATGTTGAGTTAAATATGAGTCTGTTTTTTTTGGGGGGGGGCTTCTAATACTTTTATTTAGTTCCAACTTTGAGGCATTTGCTTTCAGATCCAATCACACACAAAGGAGAGCGTCATCTGCATATTGATGATCCAGCATTTAAACAGCAGACTCAGTGAGGAGGAATCCAGAATGAACCACATGTTTACACAGAGAGGCGTTGTCATCACAAAAGCAGAGAGGCTGCTGCATCACTTGTCAGCCGATGACATCATCATTCACAGGGTACGTGACCTCGTGGAGCAGGACCAGCTCAGAACTGAGCGATGAGGGGAAGGTCTTCCCACAGAGCTTTGTACATTTCCCTTCAGCAACCGTTGAGCTGTTACTTACTTTAATTATGAATATATTATCGAAAACAAGAGAAAACCAAGGAACAGAAGATTGCTAAACTGACAAAGAAGAAGAGGAAGGGGAGGAAGACAATGGCAAAAATGTGAAGAGCGTGAAGATGAAGAAGCGCGCTCACAATACGAGAAGCTGACTCCGAGTCTGGAAGGTTCTCTCTGGTCTTGAACCACTGCGGTTCCTTCTGCTACCCTCACCTTGTCTTTACTGAGGGAAAAAGGAACAAGACGTGGTCAGAGTAATATGACGGAGGCATTCAATCGGCTGAGTGCATTCTGAACGAACAGCAACAATAATAATCCAATTACATCAGAATCAGCAGAACAGTTTCCATAATCTCCCATCACGCAGATAGTTTTGTTTTTAGTACACACATTCTTTTCCTCTGCTTTATTCTGACACTATACATCTGAGGGCTCATCCTTTCCGTCAGGACCACAGTCGAGCACATTTCTTGTTTCTTGCCTTTAATTGCACAGTGGGAGAAGCAACAGGAACCAAAGCGACGAGTCACGCCAAGAGGGTCGGGACCTCACAGATTGATACCCGGGGTATGAAACCTCTCATCTATCATTGCTCATATTTCCTAAAATGCTGCTACTGAATTATTGATAGTCTGATGGAAAACATGCAGCTAACTAGACGAGCGGGTTTCCTCTCCCAGGTAGAATCTGGGGAAACTAAACATCAAATCTGAAATCCATAATAAAAACTCCTCACTACTCACCGGAGGCGGGAGGTCAGCACCTGAATGGTTCCATCTTTCCTGAAGGCATAGTTGGCCTCGATGCACTTTCCTCTCTCGTAGGTTGAAGGGAGCTTCTCGATCTCATACCACCGGCCCAGATACTGTTACCAGAGAAGTGACATTAGTTCTGTGCGGTTCGGTCCGTATCGACTGTGGCTGTGAATGATCGTGGACGTCTTTACCTGCGGAAGGTTGAAGTTGGGCTGCACCTTGGGGGCAGGACAGCCCCCCCAATGAAAGGTCTGTGTGGACACCAGCGGCAGCAGCAGGAGGAGGTAGACTGCAGACATGTTTACCTGAAGGTACCAGAGTACCAAAAGTAGAAGAACTCTAAACTCCGAACGGCCCACTCTGGTATAATGCCAATGTAATGCTACATCTTCTCAGAAATAAAGCATTTGAATATAATGGCGCTGTGCCATACAAAGCTCTTACCTCAGGAGTGTAAGGGTCAATGAGGTCTGTTGTCTGCGTGTGCTGCTAAAGAGTGAGTGAGCTGTGGAGACGAACACAGTTCAGGTTGTTCCTGTTGGTTCCTTCCCTCGGCAGCAGGCTGCTCATTAGCTGCTCATCACGTGGACACGCACACTCAACCACAAGGGTTCAATATCTGATTCCCACGGCTTTTTGTTTGTCAGCACACCTATCAATTGCATGTACCTTTGGTGCTTATTTGTTCTGATTAAGTCATGCAACGCAAAGTTAGAGTTACATCAAGCCTTTGCGGGAATATTAAACATGAGGCGGAAATAAAAACAGAGAAACTGACCACTGAGACGGACCAACAGCTTCATCTGTCCTCCCGATGAAACAACATGTGATGTTCTTGGTTTTAATCCACTAGCCTGTATAGCACATCTCTAAATATTAAAGAGAAACATTTTATTTAGTTGAGAATTAATTGATTAATTAAGAATTACACGGCATCATTCAGAATGAAACCAAGTTGAATGCCACTATGTGGGAACGTTTAGTGCTCAACCTTTCAACCAGTAGATGACATTTGTTGTTGTTTGTTGATTGCTGTGAACACACAATCAGAGCGGCGGCGCGCCCAACGCTCACCTCGGAACCCTTGATTAATGGACAAACATCTCTTTCCTTGATCTACATTGTGACTGTGCCGATGTGGGGGATGTCGCATGTGTACAGACTGTAAAGCCGTTCTGAGGCAAATTTGTAATTTGCGATTTTGTGCTATACAAAATAAAATTAATTGAATTGAATTGACTTATTTTCCTGCCACAGTTGCAGTGGAACATTGTAAATGTCCTCAATATTACATTACTCATGTCTTCTGCTTGTTGCTTAGTAATAGTCAATACATAAATAACGAGTGACTAAATGATCCTCTTACTGAATATTATATCTTTATTATATGACGAAATATCCAACATGTTGTTCACCATCACCAGAAAATAGGTTTGATTCATTGTGTAATACATTTCACATTATAACGGAAATATCACGATACCATATAGCCTCTGTAACTTCCTTGACCATTGGTTTTTCATTTATAAGTTTTACGAATTCCATCTCCTCAATCATTGAAGCACAGACCAGTTACATTGTGAATATAAGAATACAGGACATGAGGAATCGTCACAACATGATGCCTCGGGGATGCTGGTAATCAAAGCTAAACATCCCGAGGTTTGTTGGCTGCGATAATCACGAGACAAGAGGCTGTTGATTGCGTGTTGAGCTCCGCCCGGGATGCCTCTGCTGCTCAGGGGGACGGGGGGGACGGGGGACCCCTAGTTGTCCGGGCAGCCCGTCTGATCAGTGGCCATCATCTTGCACAGTTCGATGTTTTGCCTGGTCATCAGACCTTTGGCCTCGGCCACGGTCTGCGGCGGCAGAGAGCGAGAGCGACTGAGGATCCAGGCGAAGTCAAAGTAGAAAATGTCAAAGATGCTGGTGCAGGAGTAGACGACGGAGTAGCTGGTGTAGTCTGTGGACAGGACCCAGTAAGGCCCGTTGGGCGAAACTAGGAGCAGAAGGCAAAAAGAGCAAAACTATTTAGACGTATCTTTCAGATCACAGATCGTATATAAAGGAAAATATCATCTGCATATTGACGAAAGAGAACAAACAGAACAAAGAGAAAACAAAGCAACCCCCGGCCTACTTAACTGACAAAGAAGAACAAGAAAGGGAGGAAGACGGCGGCAAAGGTGACGGGAACAAAACATGTGAGGAGGATGACGGAGATGAAGGAGAGTGCTCACAAAACGAGAATTTGACTCCGAGCTTGGCCGGTTCCGTTTGGTTTAGAACCACTGCGGTCCCTTCTGCAACATCCACGCCGTTTTCTCTGAGGGAGGCGAGAAACAACAAACAAGTGGGCTTCATCAAACAAATACGAGCCACTAAATCCGTTCCAGCGTCGGTAAATGCTAAATGTGTAATAAAAGTTTAACAATAGTTCAACTGTTGGTATCACACAGTCAGGAGAGTGTAATCCGCCAGCATTCAGAGGGTTCTGTCGACAGTTCGTCAATCCTTTTCCTTTGTTTGACTGTGAAAATACTTTACAACAAGGTGTCGCACCACAAGGCCTTCGGTCACCCGCGTCCCACGTGACCCTTCTGATTCCCTTTTGAAAAAGTCGTTTCTCTTTGTTAATATGTTGACCCGAAGCACACATGAGCATAGCAGCTTGGGTGTGTGCCATTGTCTCTGATGGGTTGACCCTCGACCCCTATGCTGTTACAAAGGGAAAGGGTTTGGCTTGAGTAAAACCTGTTCACTTAATCTTTGTTGTTTTATGTCAGCAATTTTTTGCTTATCTGTGGCTGATGGCAAAAGGCCAGTCGGGGTATTTCAACCGTATGGTTGGGGTATGAGGGCATTCCCCCCCTCCTCAGTTACATTTTAAGTCTGGAAGTCTGGCTCTCCCGGAGCTCAAGAGACCACTGAGCTGATGGTGGATGTCGATGATACCTTTTCATAACCTTTGACTGATGTAAATCTCGGCACCAAAATCTGTGAACAAAAACTTCTCACTACTCACTCGATCTGGGAGTTCAGCACCTGAATGGTGCCATCTTCATTCAAAGCGTAGTTGGCCTCGATGCACTTTCCTCTCTCGAAGGAAGCGGGGAGCCTCTCGATCTCATACCAACGGCCCAGATACTGTTACCAGAGACGTGTCATTAGTTCTGTGCGGTTCGGTCCGTATCGACTGGGCCTGTGAATGATCGTGGACGCGTTTACCTGTGTGAGGTTGAAGTTGGGCTGCACCTCGGGGGCAGGACAGCCCCCCCAGTGAAAGGTCTGTGTGGACACCAGCGGCAGCAGCAGCAGGAGGAGGTAGACTGCAGACATGTTTACCTGAAGGTACCAGAGTACCAAAAGTAGAAGAACTCTATATCCAGAAGGGCGCAAATATACATTATCTTTTCACAACTATATATATATATATATATATATATATATATATATATATATATATATATATATATATATATATATATATATATATATATATTGATAATGGAATTGAAGGGACCATCTTTTATGTAGGAAGTAACGTCGGGTTTGCCCAAAATAAAAGATGTTAGATTCAAATTATTATAATTATTGTTAAATTAGTATCTCTAGATCCCCACCAAGCTTGTCAGATGTTACTGGTCTTATTTAAAAGTGTAGCTACATGTTGGCACGCCGTGATTATTTGAGGTCAAGTACACAACGTCTCATTCCTTCGACGTCTACTGTATATTCTGCGCAGGGCGTGCCACATGTCTTCCTCTATTCTCAGTAGAGACATGATATGGTTGAATAGAACTTCAAGGTTTTGTCTCTGTATCCCGTTTCAGGCAGCAGCTGAGACGCTGCAGAACCCGTTCTTCTGGTTCCACGTAACAAGCCAAACCTTTTTTTCAGATTACGTGACACTTGACTTTTAGTTGGTACCAATGCATAACAACAACAACCACAAAATGATGGCTTGTTTTTGATGGAATCAATACAAAAGCTGTACTAAAAGAAAAATACATATTCAGGATGTTACAGGTTTTACAACGACGCGTCTTTCACTGTTTGACACGGTAACTAACACGAAGGAATTTAGATTGTAGCCCCATTCGCTACAAAGGAAAGAAAACATTTTACAGTAGAATGAAGGACAAACATTTTTAACATTTTTTAAATAAGTGCAAAAAAGTTTTTAAAAAGCCTAAATAGATCTTTTCTCTTGTCAAGTCCACATGTTAACTTCGTTCAGCCGTGGCATAAAACCTCAGGTGTTCTTACCTGAGGTATAAGAGGGTTCAGGATGTCAGGTGCTGGTCTGGTGGAGTCAGCGACTGTTGATGAAATAAGACCCAGAAGAGAACACTGGAGGTAGACGCCGACTGGGAGTGTGTTAACGTGCACGTTGTGTCACTCCCGCGTCACCTGACTCTTCATGAGCTGCGTCTTATTCATGAGCACATGCCCTGCTTATGAAAACACCCACACAGCGGGATAAAGGTCAAATATTAGGTTTGATTTGTTCCCACGCATTACATACATATGCATATGTTCGTATTCGGAAAAGACTAGAATGAAGGATGTCAGAAGAAGTCATTGAGAGCGTGAGACTGACTGGGGCGTATGTTGTAAAATGAAATACACTCAGTTCTCACATTTCTTTTCTGATCTTATGTGATTACGTGAAAAGAATCCTGTTTAAAATCAGTTCTTTTCAACATGTGTGGATTTTGGCCATTTTAAGTAAATATCTATTGAGTTGTCATTTAGAGTAATATTGAAGACCTTCAGTCTGCATATTTGGTGAATTACACATTTTCTTGTAAAAAAGTTGTTACAAATCAGTTAATTTTCAGGAGTTAACTTGGAATTCTTCTTTCAAGCACAAAGAAACAAGTGAGTTACAAGTGAGAGTAAAGTCTGTTGGTTTATCTTAACATCTTAGACTGACCCGCTTCAAGCCTTGATTTAACAAAAATGTCAAAACCTGAACACAATCTCAGTTTTTAATGCTGTATAATTTATTTCATGTGTATTGGCTCATTGGTAAGAAGGAGGGAAGATGTTCACATGCTGTTAATTGTATTTCCTCGCCGTCATTAATTCCTTCACTTTATTGTTCATCGTGACAACACGCGGCATTCGTAGCTTAAGTGTCTACTCGTATCAACGTGTGTTGCTGATGGTTCGCCGCTTTGCGTTTCCACCTTTTTCCAGCCATGCAGAGAAAATAACAGACCCCCTTTTCGGGAAAAACGCCCTTTGCAGCGAGGAGGCTGCACCAGCTGCTCCGAGCATCCCGATACGGTGAGTTTGTGAGCGGCGCACGTAGCATTGTGTCTTCTCCCCGTGAGGCGTCACTAACGTGCTGCACGTCTTTTAGGATGTTCAGGTATCTCTCTTCCCCTGGGGGTCGACCTCCCACCACGACCCCGGAGCTTTCGCCAGGAGTCTCACACACCAGGACGACACTGGCGACACAGAGCAGGAAGTGGCATGTAAACCGACGCCCGCCCCCCAAGATGCCCCCAAAAAACAGAAGGTCAAAGTCGGCGTGAAGATCAGGAGAAACTGGACATGCACCAGTTATGTAAGTGAAATAGGACGTCTTGACGCGTTAAACCTCCAGATAAATGTATCGCCTTCCGTAGAGAGATCAACATTTCTGCGCACATATTAGTGACAAAACACACACATTTAATAAAGATGATTTATTTCCAGTGTTTGTTGAGGGAGGCCATTGCACCCCTGCTTCTCTCTACACAGGCGAGATGTTCACTGTTCAGAAAACATTGTCTCATGCAGTTATAAAGATACCTTTGTTTTTTTTCTCCCAGGTTATAAGCGCCCACACATTTTACTGCATTTGAAAATAAAGGGGGTGTGGGGGGGGTAAATCTATAAAGAAACAGACAGACGCCAATATATCGATGTGAGTTTAACTCAAAACAACAACAAGACCCCACAACAAAAAACATCTCTGGAATGCCTGTGAGATTCATTTCTCCTAAAAGTGTTTTTCTTGTCGACTGCTGGTAGAACAGTTTTTATAAAAAGGGAAAAAAGAGGCACTTTTTGTTCTTGAGTTTAAAACGTGTGGAAACTGGTCTGTAACTGAACAAAGTTTGGAAATAGAAACCACTGCACCAAGCATTACATACTATGGCATCAGCATTTCATTACTGGGTTTTTTTTCAGTCTTTATTTGATAAAAATCCTCCAGTTCATCAAGCTAATATCTGGCTGTTATGACTGTGCTGTGAAAAAAAAACCTTCCCACAGCACGCAGCTCAGAAAGCAGCCCTCAGTTACATCCATATACTTCAAGTACAGGCAACAAAAAACACATAGCGATTCTTTTGAAAGTGACCACATTGTCACAAGCAACTCGTGTTAGTCTGTGAGAGTAATACATTCTTCATACCGCTTATAATAGGAAGAACTGAACCAAAAAGAAGCTTCCTCCTGCGTTCAGTAACGGTCAAGTTGACCTTCCTTCTGTTCATTAGTGCCGTCTAACAATCCACAAAGTCCACTTGTGTCCCGTCGACACGGATGTAACAGCCGAGTCACGTTCCTGCATCGGTTCCATCCTGCAGGAGGAGTTTCGTGGACGCTCATGAACATCTCTTCAGCATCTTTCCAGTAACAATCGCATAAGCCTATACATAGTATGTACAGTAGATACATAAAGTACACTTTGTAGAAAAAATATTGTGCAGTAACCGTAGCTAAAATACCCACATTCGTACGTTCCCGCATTCAACCCGTCCATTTTTTTTTCTCGCATCGTCTCAAACGGCTCGTGGCGCGTCACAGGTACTGGTAGAACCGCGAGCGGACCACCTGTGCCCCGCTCAGTTTGTGCGGGTGAGCGTCGGCCCCGAGGGCCGCTCTGTGTTTGCCCTGCAGCCCGCCGCCGTTGACGTGCTCCCCGGCTGCGCCCGGGGACGCGGAGGGAGAAGGCCGGTCGGGAGCCACGTCCCCGGCCTCCGGGTGAACGTCCTCGGCAACGGCACGAGGTGCGACCTCGTCGCTGGCACCGGGGCCTCGGGCACCGCTCTCTGGTGATCCAGTCCCGGATGGAGAAGTCCTGAGAGGAACACCGGGGCTTGAGGCGGTCTAGAGCGGACAGCTCGGCCGTCTGGTCCCACGCCCGCCTTTGCTCCCTCCAGTCGTTGATGACGGCCAGCTCGGCGAAGTCCCTCTGCCCGGCCATGGTGTGCCTGCGGCGGATGTTCTTCTTCTTCCCGCGGGCCTCCGGCGCTCGGTTCCTCTGCGTGAACATGTCGTCGGCGGAGGAGCGCAAGCGGAGCTTGAGCCGCTCCGTGATCTTGAGGTGCCAGGCGGGCTCGCAGCGCTCCGACTCGCTGCGGGAGGACGAGCTGAGGCTGCTGGTGGACCGGCCTTTCTTCATCACCTCCAGGACCCGGGAGAGCCGCGTGGAGGACTCGGCCTTGCCCCCGCCGCGCTCCGTGCTCCCAGCGGCGCCCTCCGCCGACGACTCGCTGTCGGTCTGCTGTCTGAGGGACCCCCGCCTGGAGAGCGTGTCGCACTCGATCATCCTGTGGGTCGGGAAAAGGCGCCGCGCTTCCGGCTCGGGCGTGGCGCCGCCCTCGGGCGGCCGGGTCCGGTCCAGGCTCGGGTCCGGGCGCGGCGTGGACTGGCCGCTGCCTCCGCCGGGGGCGAACACCGGGAAGTCGCTCTCGCTGTCCGTCTCCATGGGTCGGCCCTCGCTGATGAGCTCGCTGCGCTCGTCGTCCGCCTCCTCCCCGCCCTGCAGCTCCGGACTGAGCGCGCTGGACTCCGCGCCGGTCAAGAACGTGATGGAGGACGTGGTGGAGTAGTCCGAGGTGATGGAGCTCACCTCCGCTCCGGCGGACGCCCCCGGACCGGCCGCGGGCCCGACACAGGCGCCCGCCGCGAGGTCGGGGGACGTTCCGCTCCACTTTTTGGGTCTGGACTTGGGCGCGGACGCCCCGGAGCTCATGGTCCCGAGGTCAGAGGTGTTCTCATCGAGGTGGGACAGGGGGTCGGACAAGGAGCACCTCGCCTGAGTTTGGTGGACAGAGACATTTGGGGAGGGCGGAGTCTTGTCCTTCAGGAAGGAGGAGTTCCTGTGCTCTCTCTTGGCTTTGGGGGTGACCTCCGCAGGTCTCCCGTTCTCTTTCCTCTCGTCTGCGCGGGCCGGCGTCTTGGCGTTGAGGCCCTGCGCCGCGGCCGGGAGGCCGTGGTGGTTCGGCTTCTGGCCGGGGATTTCCTTTTTGGCGAACGCGGCGTCCAGGTCATCGTCTGAGCTGCTGGGCTGCGGCTTCTCCTTTGACTTCTTTCTTTTGCGACTGGCTACAGCAAAGATGGAGGAGACCAAGAGCTCCCGGTCCTTCCCCGAGCCCCAGGAACCCTGCACATAGGGACAGGTGAGGATGAAGAAGAGGAGGAAGACAACAAGGTGAGAACCTTCCGATGCTGAGAATCACGAGGAAGGAGCACGTCGGAAAAACGAAGGAAAACTTCACCCCTGCCTGGGAACTTAAACCCTTTACTCCACCTGCTCCCGCGAAGCACCACGAGCCAGAGTGGACAGAGAGAGGAACGTTAACAGGGAGCACAGTATCGTTGCCATGCCAACGGGAGCGGGAGAAGCAGCAGCACAGCATGAACTGAAGCATCGCTGCTCTGGCGTGGAAGCAGGAGGAAGGCAGCCATGACAGCAGGGCAGTGATGAAAGGCCAAATGACATCACCCCACTGTGTGTGTTCTCTCATTAACGCTAGTCAGCCTACTCTTTGCATAGACTTCAAGGGTCCATTCGCCCGCAATACAAAATAAATAATAAAGCATTACTCAGTCCTTTCTCCCCGTGTCGATCATTTGGTTTAATCCGTCTGAGTTTTGATATATTGACTTTTGATATATTCATATGTGGTATCTATGCCTCCATAGTCTACCGATGAATTAAGTGCTCAATTATTGAGCAGTTAAATATAAATAATATTAAAATATTGCTCAGCGTGTCCTGAGGAAATGAGGCTGTGTGTGTGAGTTGGCCGACGGGACCAAACACACCGCGGCAGGGACTGAATTCTTCCTGTGATTCCGATGTCGGGTCACGATTATTTGAAGTGCATCTTGACTGGAGGGGGAGGCGTCCTCGTCCTACACTGGGGGGGTTAACGCTGGCCGCGCACACGCAAACGCACACACACACTCACCTTCGATTTGGCCGAGTCGCTAGTCGGTGAATCTGCAGGCAGACAGAGAACAGAGGGACACGTCAGTTGTTTTTACACAGACTTCGATGATGAGGTGCAATATGTGAAAATGAATCAAGGAGAAAACGAAAAAAAAGGAAGAATGGAACAATGTTGATGAGAAGGATCGTTGGCGTGAAAACACACAGCGGACAAGACGAGTGAGCGCGCGCGCACACACACACACACACACGCACACACACACGAGCAGACAACAGGCCATGCGTCACACAGACGTTACTCAAAGGTCCACAAGAAGAGAGAGGAAAGCTCCTCTTGCCTCAAGTTTCTGAGTGAATCTGAGTGCAAACTGCAGCTGCAAACACAAAGAGTGCGTAACAGCAGCTGAGTGTGTGTGTGTGTGTGCGTGGGGGGGGACTGGGGGGGTTGAGGACGAGACATGCGACGATGGAGACGGATATCCAGGGATGCAGACGTGAACCCTCCGGGAGCAAAACAACTAAATCTGAGATACCAAAGAAATACTTTTATTTCTGCTGACGACAACAGAAGACGCCGAAGTTCTAAAGTGTTACGTGTGGCCCAAACCGGTTCCTTTTAATTAAAGAAATAACTGAGATGGTGCTGTGGTTTCCATCATACTAGTGCCGACCTATTGTGAACGTTTTATTCCAAAGGTTTATTAGGGTAGAATTTGCTCGTCACGTAGTTTTCATTCGATAAGAACCACGAACTGCTTTAATTCTTACATTTAGAGTCAAAAAGATGTAAAACTGTATAAAAAAACTAGAACTAAGAGTCTAAAAGTAAACATCGTTTTGTGATTTTCTTTTCCCCTTCTTATCATCTTCCAGATTTTTTTAATTTCTTTTTCAACTTCCAGGTCGGGAACCACTGGTTTAATCCTGAGCAACGTCATAACTTTTGATATAACTAGAACAATCTAATTCTGAGGGAACCTTGTTGTCGGTCAGTAAAAGCGCCTAAAGATCAAGACACACATGTCTGGACACCTCATGCACACGAGCAGACACATTCTGGTTGATAATAACTCATTAAGCTGCCATGACAACGGGGACACGGTGAAGACGGAGACGGCAGAAACCAAAACATGAATGGAAGACGGAGAAGTGACAGGGGGGCTCACAGAGGGGCTGGCTGTATGAGAAGAGGGGTCACTACATGAGGGACAGAGAGAGCGAGTGTGAGCGAGGAAAACCTATGATCAGTCCTCACCTGCTGCTGACCACCTCCGTCTAGCTAAAAATGTGCTGGTGTCTGTTTGTGTGACGTAGCCCCAGCCCCCCTGCACAGCCCTCACAATACAGATGGAGTGCACACTGACTGAGACGTAGGAACCGTACCATGCCGTCTCTCCTGTTGGCCAGCTTGTGAGACAGTGAGGAGAGACAGCGGAAAGCCTTTCAGACAGTAGCACCGGCCCGTGTTGGGTACACTCTGACAGACACCACCCCGGCTTCTCGCCGCCCTGTCCGTCACGGTTTCCTTTGTTTAACGCGTTGTTTTTGTTTTTGTTTGCTTTTTTTTCTTTCTCTCTTTGGCTTTCAAAAGAACTGCGGGTTCCTGCAGACTAGGCAGCTACACTGGGGGCAACAATCCTCCTTCTTCCTACAGTTCCAGCTGTCCATCACAGACATTACAGAGTCCATCAGTGTCATCATGGTGTGATAGACTCCTCCCACTTGGCCTGTGTCAAGATCAGTATGTGTGAATGCTGGGAAAGCCTTTAGGACACCCGACAGAGCCTCACTACAGACAGAGGAATCAGAGGTCGCCTTTCACTGTAAAAACATCTACTTCTGAGTAAGAAACAACATGCCTTATTAGTGCGACAGTGGGCGGGACAAAGGGAAAAAAACAGCCGTTAAAGGGATAAAAAAAAAGGAGCAGGACATCTAAATCCGTGGGGGGGTTGACTCTCTGAAAGCAAATGAAGAAGCGGGACAATCTGTTGCATCCTTTCCGCTGGATGGGATGCAAATAAATAGCGCAGTGAAACCCAACGCAGGACTCACGGTTGGCCATAGACATTTCTATCTAGTGGCAACAGCCGGAGAAGCAAAAAAGTGTGGGAAGAAGCAGCGTTATCATCAACATTTGTTACCAGGTCGCTCAGCGGAGAGCAAGGGGGGAGGGGGCAGAGAGAGAGGAACCCACCACAGAGTCGGCCCGCCAGAGGCGGCGTGTTACCTGATACTTCACCCTGCGACGTGGCCGTGCGCCCGATGTTGGTGAGCAGGTGGTCGATGTTGGGCACGGGCTGAGACTCCACCGCGCTGTCGTTACGCGACGCGGTCTGAGGGAAGGAGACGCAACGACATTCTAGAGGAATATGCAGCGCTGGAAGCTAAAACTCAATTCACCAATGAGTTAGATGCCAACGGGAGAAAGATCGAACGGGAGCCGTTGCAGGAAATTACATTTATGACATTAATGTGCCTTTGTTTTGTTTAAGCAACCTATTCGAACACAAACAACACTCCTAAAAAGGAAATGATATGATGTAGAATTAGTTAAATTCAACTGTAAATAATTCAATAGACTCACCACTGGATCTCCATTTCCATCTTCAGTGAAAAACCAGTTATACTACAAGGAAGACAAAAGTCATTCCACTCAGTTCCGTGTTCGACGTTTGATGCCATAGAATGCCGAATGAAAACGTAAAGCTCTGACGCTCACGTTCTGAATGAGGGCCTCCACGATGCGGTACTGGTCCGGCATGTGTGTCACCATGTGGGTCATGTTGTCCTCGGTGGTCCGCACCAGAGTGGGACCGAACACGATGGCCAGGTTCCTCGGCTCCATCTGAGAGAGACAAAAAAAAGACATTTAATGCACATCTCTAACCTTCTCTAACTGAAACGCGATTAAGATAAACGTGTCACGCACCTTGTTCTTCTCCGAGTTGTCCGCCACCGTTTTCAGATGAGCCGAGAGGAACTTGAGGGTCTCGTAGTGATGATCGGGCAACTCGTGAAGCTGTGAGCAGAGAGAGGACAACATCCAACTTCCTCATTTATTGTTTCATTCCACAAGAAGTGGCTACAGCAATTCCAACCGATAACCAACCCAAATATATATTGATCAGGCCACTCACCAGCCTCTTGAGCACTTTGAGCCTCTCCACGGGGTCCTCTGTCCTGTTGGCGTCGATGAAGTCTGCGTACCGATCTGCAGGAAGAGAAGGCAAAAGCCTGAGAAGAAATACATCCACTTTTGTTTATGCACGGCGCCTGAGTTGTGATTCCCGGCCACCGGGGGGCACTCGCGCACTGCGTCAAACTCACCATTCGTGAACAACGGCTCTGGAAGTTTGCGGAAGAAGGACTTGAGTAAACTGCTGATCACGTTCAGGTCCCTCCATTTCTGCAAAACATGAGAACAGAAGTAATGCACAAATCTAGAAACACGAGGCGCAAAAAATAAAGCTTTAAACACATTGAGTGCGACACTCCAAGGAGAGTTTAATTAAAGCCGCGGCGATCGATGAGGCGCCACTCACGTCGTCCTGGACGTCGATATCGCTCATGCCCTTGTTATTGAGCTCCTCCTGCATGTTGGAGATGGCCGCGTTGTTCCCGGGGACTCTGTAGATGCCCGTGTACTCCAACCCCCTCTCCTCCACCAGCTTACAGCACACCTCCACAATCAGAGGCACAAACTGCAGCACGCGGAAATGCGGGAGACGTTTAGCTCGTTGGACAGGCGGCGCATTATTACTTATAGGTGCGACAGGTGATGGATAGATGCGTCCCGACCTTGTTGGTCTGTGCAGGGGGACAGTCGTCCAGCCTCACTCCGAACGTGACTCCGGGGGACGGCTTCCTCTCGAAGGGTTTCCTCATCAGCCCCGGGATGCTCTTCCTCCATGTCCCTTTGTCCTTGGGGGGGCTGGTGTCGTCTGCAACGGCAGCGTGCGAGGGAGCACAGCGACCGCGTTTGTTATTCTTTGGCTCCAAACGCCACGGACTCGCTAGGCTTCTTCCTCCTACCTTTGTGCACGTTCTTCCTCTCCTGCTCCGTTTTGGCTGTGGGAGGACTGGTGGCTTTGTTGTCCCCTTTGCCTCCCAGCAGCGTGTGCCTGATGCTCAGCGACTGGCGGGAGGGTTTGGGCGACGCCTCCGTCTTGCCGCCTGTCGGACTGCGTGGGGCAGACAACACAAAATGAGCTTCCCGATCCGACCGACGCCTCTCCCTCTCTCTTTTACCCCTCGCTCGGCCCCTCACCTCATCAGGGTGTTGTACTCCTTGATCTTCCTGCTGATGAGGTCATGGCTGGTGAAGACAGAATTCTGAAGAGGAAAGAAGTGGATTGAGAAACAGGTGAAGGCTTGTCCCCGAACCTCTCGGGCTCGGGTTTGAGCGCCGGACGCTCACCTCCTCGTCCATGTTGCCGTTCTCCTGTATGACCCGGATCCAGGCCAGCATGTCCTCCCGGTCCTCGGCCTGGAAGAGGTACTCGCAGTCCGACGTGGTCAGCCGCAGCACGTTCTTCCGCTTGGTGTCGCTGTACGAGATGTCGATGAGACACGCCTTGATGCTGATGGGCAGGGGCTCGTCCACCGCTTGGCAGTTGGCGTGAGCCTGTCCTTCCTTTTTGTCTTTGTACAGGCAAAGGTAGCGGCCTCTCAGCACGGCGTACATCTGTTTCCACGGGCGCATTCCTCCTCCCACGCGCTGCAGAAAAAGGTTGCGAACGGGAAAAAACGCGAAATGGAAGGAATTGAAATACATGGAGGACAAAAGGAAGCCACGGGTCCATGTGAAATGAACATACGTCCTGTTTATTAACGCGGTTATGCGGCCACGTGACGCCCACCTTGCTCTTCTCCGTATTCAGCTGCTTGAAGTGAAGCAAACCCTCCTTGGTGGCGTCGCAGAAGACGTCGGACGAAGAATCCCTCCTGGACCCCGAATCTTCAGATGACCTGTCCCCCGCCTGTGATGGGAGAGAATATTAACATCAAGTAAGACTGTTTGTGATGAGACGCCTTTCAGGACCTCAGATGGCACGGTGAAGTTTATAGTTACGGAGAAGCATTAAATACAAACACAATAAGCCTCGGATTAATTATTCACCAGTTGTGCCTGACATCGGTTGTAAACGAGACGTTTTATCTTCTGGGTGTGAACTAGCGCGCTGATAAAGCAGCAGGACGTGCCGGTCATGTGACGTGCTTGATAAAAAAAATAGGGATTGAACTCACCTTCCTCAGACTCTTGAGACCAGGTATTAAAGACCTGCTGAATGGAAAAGCAGAGAATCAATGGGTAATGTTTTCACGCCAATCAATCCTTTAACGCTGTCTACAACGGGGGGGGGGGGGGTCAGGCTACAGAAACGCACCCTATGCCTTCTCCCCGGTAGTTATCCAGGCCTTCGTCATACGACTTGGACCGCTCCGTTTTTGTGCCGGAATCGGACTCGGCGACCGTGAGACGGAGGGAATCTGGCGAGAGGGGGACAAACCATCAATTGCAACCCGGCGACTCCGTAGCTTTTCAGAAGCTTCCGCTGCCGCGTGGACACACCTTGGTCATGTGACAGGTGGCGTCGAATGAGAGGCGACAGAGAGCTGGGGCTCGGCGGGATGGTGGCGATGACGGGCGTCCCGCAGATGATGGCGCAGGCGGGGACGTGTGTGCTGTCCTGGTCGGTACTGGGACTGGACGGTTCGTCTGAGGACCGAAAGAGGGGAGTTAACTTCATCGCCGTTGGTTACTTTCCTCTCTGGGAACAAGGACGCCATGTGACGCAGACAACGTTAAGTCTTGATGATAAATGGCTGAAAAGCTTCCTACCAACAGCAGATACTGGAGCCAAGACTTTGTCATGTTACATACAGAGAATAATAAATAAAACCTTCATGTAAACCAGATCCACTGCATAAGCATCTTCCGGCTGAGTTGCTATACAACTCTGGCGTTAATTCAGAGAACATTTGGTACCGGAAATCCCCCAAAGACAAAGACAAATTCATCCCTTCTATCTCCTCTTGAATAAACAGCAGTAATAAAGCGTCGTCGTAGTGACACACGGGGCCAAAGCAGACGGTAGAAGGCCGGTCCCCTTTTAAAATAAACACATCAGCATTACATCAGCACAGACACGTGTCATAATGTCTGATACGCAATATCAGCCGGAGGGGCAAGCCCTAAAAGCAAATGAAGAGACGCATGCGATGAATCATATCAGCGGCCGCGCTGCCGCAGGGAGGGCAGGTAAAGCGTAATGTGGCACCGCCGACTTCAACACCGGGGAGTTAAGTAGAGCACTAACATGCGTTATTCAACTGTGACACAAGCCGTCATTATAGAATCACAAGCAAAAAACAGGCAAAAAAAGATCGAAAGGATTAAATTCCTGCAAATTCACCGATACAAATCTTCAACTTTCGCAACATTTGATAAAAAGCATCTGCTTGTAAGTTGTGTACAAATTACAGCTGTGAAATCTCCTCAAAGATATTTGCCGTGACTGCAGACCTCGTTCCTGCTCAGCGCGCCGTTAAGACTTTAAACAGGCGATTCCGATCTTAACACAAATAGTTAATGAAAAGGACTAATAATACTCTCATAACCCTTTTCTGTCTGAAGCGGTGTAGAGGCGGTGATGAGCTTAGCTTAGCATAATGACTGGAAACCAGAGAGCAGCTGACTTCTGTTTGACACAAACATGTTAGTGAGCTTCATTGATTATCTTTAGGCAGGCGAGCTTCTTCTTTCAGTCTTTATGCTAAGCTAAGCTAAGCTAACCAGCTGCCGGCTGTAGCTTTTCTTCCTTTTCTTCCCGAGGAAAAGCTCAGGAGAAGCCAGAGTTTCTCCTCGTCGGGGAGACGTGTCATTTTGTCCGTACTTCAGCAGGACTCATTGCAACATGTCTGGCAGAGGCCTAATGTACAGCAGTCGTTCCCTTCATTATTTGGAACTGTGCTATGAAATCTAACTGGAGCCGCAGGAATGCTCTTATTCCTCCGTTATGTCACAGTCCATTAGGACGATGCGCTCGGGTTTCTCCTGCCGAACAACGCGGGGGAAATAGGAGCCAATTCAGGGAGTGGGTGGGGGTGTAGTTGGGAGAGCAGCTCGGTGTGCCAGAGTGTGTGTGTGTGTGTGTGTGTGTGTGTGTGCTGCCCTACTCAGGTGCCAAAAGGCGGTGAGAATCCGTCACTGTGGGCTGCAGTACAGTGTCCCATCGTCACACACCTGACTCCACGTCATCCAGAGTTCAAAACGCCACGAGGAACCACATTTATTTCCCCATTTAAATACCTACGCGACGCTGCCGACGCCAGACACAGAGCAACACAAACCCCGGGGCAGTTCCTGTACGACTGGTGATCCTCGGTGTATTAGGATGACATTAGGACACAATAGAGGGCCTTGTTGCTCGAGAAGTGAGGAAGACCAGCTAACACTTGATATTTAGGGCCTTTTGTGACTGTATGAACCAAATCATGAAGCCAAAAATGAGCTGCGGGTGTTTTTTGCTGCTATCTGGTTCCCTTGGACAGAGGGGTATTTCTTTGTATCCAAAGAACAAGGAGGTATTAAAAGGGGAAAGGCTCGTTTGTTTTTAAGATTAAGGATATTAATGCAACAAAGAGGATACACGAATGTGAATTCCCTGCTTGTGCATCCTGTCCATCTCAGCTGCATCCAACATGCTGCATGCAAAGAGGACACGGACAAACACACGCTCTCCTTTGCATTGGTCTCTCGTGTGGGATTATCTGAGCATGTAAAAGCCCCGATAGACACTCACACAACGGACAAACCACTGGAAATAATGCACACTTCATCATCAAGCACTGGGTACCCTCATTCTATCATGAAATAAGCCAAACTTCTGAAATAATTTGCATGTTGCATCGTTGTCTTAGCGCGCACATCTGTACAAGGAGTTTCCCTAAATAAAACATCCTGATTTACATCTACAGCATTTCCTTTCCTTACTCAGGCAGGAAATAACACATCAATATGTCGGCCCAAGTGCATGATGCCAACGTGGATAAAACCGATTTCGGCCTGAAGACGGAGATTGGAGATAGATTGCTCACGCAACAACGTGCGCTCGACGTTCACTCAGCTCGTTAAGAGCCTGGCGGCAACTTGTTCTGGACTCCAACTGGCTGAAGAGTCTGCACAGCTTTCACGCACAGACGTACTCCTCCACCCACACAAACACACGCCGCGTCATCCTTTCACCCCGAGCGCCGACCCCCGTCACCGCTATCGTTTAAAGAGAAGGCGGTGTGCAGACTAGTGCCGTCTTACCTATGAAGGGGATGGAATCCAGCGAGCCGTCCAGGTCGTTGGAGCCGGACTTCAGTCGAGCGTCTCCGAGCCGCCGGAGATGCGTCTCCTTGAAGCCGTCACTCGAGGTCCTGCACATGGCTCCATCCGCAGAGCCCGCCTTCACCAGTGGCGGGGTCCTGCGAGTCACTCCTCCCTGGTTGTCATTAAGAGCCAGCACATAGGACGGAGGGCGGATGTGGGGGGGTCCGGAGTTTTTGTCCCTTCTTAGGACGACGACTATCGCGTCCGGCCCTTCTACGCCTTCCGACAGGCCGCCGTTAATCCGCGGGAGGGCGCCGGTGGAACTGGACATTTCTCTGGCCCTGGGCGTTTGGGTGACAGCGACGTTAGAGGTGGAGGAACCAGAGGAAGAGGCAGCAGCAACTACACTTTGTAGTTGTTTCTGCAAAGGCAGTTTAGAGGAGGTACCGGAGCAAGAGGAGGACCTGGCCGCCAACCCGGACTCCAACCTGCTCTCCATTTTCAGACTGTCCGCCCGGCCTCTGTGCTGCAGGTGCAGAGGCGACGAGTAGCACAGGTGGTTGCCCACGATGTTGGCTCTTTGGTCTTTGGGAGGGTCTATGGCTCTTGCGGACGATAAGGCAGGTGGAGGTTCTGAGATGGCGTTTTTAACAGACAGGCGCGATGGTCTCATTACGACCCCGTCTGTCCTCGGCGTTGGCGCGATATCCGTCGTGAATTTGGTAAACACAGGAGCGGAGTTCGACAACCCACCTTCTCGCCCGGTGAGACTCCTGTTCAGGTGGGGCATGGCTCTGGGGCCCGCCCCCTGCCTGCTGGCTCTGGCTTCCTCCCCGCGACACAGCATCATCCGGTCCTCCAGCACCGCCCTGTCTCCAAACGCCGCCGAGCCCGCCGGTTCTCCCGGCCGCTGCCCCAGGTAGTCACAAGACCGCGCCCGGGGTTCTGGCACTCCGGCGGGGCTGGAGAAAGGCAGAGCGTCCTCGGAGGCACTCCGAGGCCAGGGTACGCCTGGCGGCGCCCTCCCGCCTCCACCGCCGAGCCTCTCTTGGGAGACGCTACGCAACGAAGTCCCTGCGGCGCCCTCGCTGCTCGGATCCACCCCGCGTTCAATCGAGGTGCTTCTCCATCTCACCTGAGAGCCCGGCGCCCCTCGCGGAGGGGTGCTGGGGGCCGGCGGCGTGCGTTGCTGGGCGTAGGCGGAGGTGGAGTTGGCCGCCGCGCGCAAGCTGTCCAGGCGCTCCTGGATGGTGCGGCAACCGTACGTGTGCAGCCTCTTGGTGTCTATGTAGTCCTTGTAGGTGGTGTAGTTTTTCCAGTCGATGTTCTGGTGCGGCGAGGTGGAGGGGGTTGTGGGAGAGGGGGAGTAGTGGTTGCCGCCGGGCGAGGCGGCGGAGGAGAAGGTGTCCGGCGAGGCGGCAGTGGCCCGTACGGCTGGAGACAATAAGTCCGGACAGGGAGCGCCGGGTCTGGCTGGAGGGGAGCAGGCCGGGCTGTCTGCGGGGCGGGACGAGGGGTACCGCACCTGTGCCCCCCCGGGTGCCGAGGGAACAAGCGGCCTGGGGGCGGCCGAGGATTCTGCCGAGTGGCTGTGCCGGTTTTCCTCTGTCCTGTGGCTGGGTCCGGCCCGGGCCACCCGGGACCCCCGGTCAACTGGATCAGGAGGCATCGCCGCCGTCCTCACGCTCTCGCTGCAGACACAAACCGCCGTCTGGGACTTCGACCCCTGCGGGGGCGCGGCGGGGCTCTTTTCCGCGGCGCCCCCTCTCCTTGCCGGTCCTTGAGCCGGCCCCGGGGGGCTCTCGGTGACTGCGGCGGGCTCCGATGTCTGAGCCATGGCCGCGGACTTGACTTCTATCCGAGGGTAGCATATGGGAGGGGGCTCGGGGATGTTCTGGGCATTTCCGCTGTAAGCATCATTTCCTTTGAGATATGCATCCTGGGAATACGCCTGCAAGAGATTACGGGACATAATGTCACTCTGAGCAGAAGTCGGGAAGCTGAAGGAGAACATCTCAGCCGACCAGGGACACGGTGCACTGGATCAGAAGAACTATTGCTGCAAATGGCAAAAGAATCCCAGGTTTCAGGTAGCTGTTCTATACGATGAATTCACCGCCGCAACCCACCCACGACCTCATCTAACATACAGCTAGAGTATCCGACAGTGTGGTTGCTCACATCTCGAGGGTGGAGATTGAATGATAACCCGCCCGGTGTCTTTTATTGACTCGAGTGAGCTGATTAGATTATCAGCAAGACAAACACTGACACTGAATTCCCTGTGACAGACGGCTGAGATCCGCCGGTCCATAACAATAAAACGACAGCGCGCTAAAAGCAGACGCAGCGCTTCGGTGCTTTTCTTCCTAAACTAACACTCTGCTTCGGTTACGGTTTCTCAATCGTTCCCTTGGAGACCGCAAACAAAAGTCGCGGCATGCCGCGATACAAATGAAGTAACAGATGAGGAAACAGGTGAGATAGCCGGCCAAGCAAATAAGCGGAGAGAGAAGGCTGGAAAGTCCAGAATCTCCCCCCCGTGGAGCCAGCGGCCTCACTCACCTTTGGCACTGGGGAGTGCGCCCTGAGGCAGGACGAGAGGACGAACGGGGGACGCCTCTGTCTGCCCTTGGCGGCTAACGCCACTTCTGTCAGCATGGCGCCGCGAACCTACTCTCTCACTGCAGCTGCTCGGGCCGTCTCCTCCACTCAAACCTGAGCCGACACCACGGCGTCTAGCTAGTCGGAGTTCGGAGAAAAGTCCTGGTGTGGCACACTGAACGCGGGACATGTCCTCATCCTCGCGGCACGAGGACGCTCGGGGAAGTGAAGAGGGGCAGAGCCGAGGTGTTGGGACTATAATCGGTTGCAGTGTCGGGTTACGACTGCACTGAGGGCAATTCTGCGGCTTGGTTCCTCCCTCTGGATTTGCATCCGGCATTCGGTTAAATAGAAAACCAATTTCCTCAAAGGGCAAAGTACAGGCAAAGTGCAAGATCATTGTTTTTTCCCCCAGTTTTTCCAGTACACACATCATTCCCTTAACCTGAAACCGCAGAAAAGTAACCTGCGAATACTAAACGGCGCGTGCTGGACGGAGCCTCTAGAGAGAGAAAGCTCTAAAGGCGGTGAGACATGTGACACGAGCCCTGCAGCAGGAGGAAAGTGATTAGTCAGTGTGGTTTCCCTTCTTACCAGAGCAGTGATGTCCCTGGAAAACTGCAGTCCACAGGTTAGAGAAGCGCAGGCAGAGAGAAGAAAAGGGGGAGTGAAGAGAAGCACACAGGTGAGCACAGAGAAGTGGAAGTCTGTCCGACTTCAGCGCTGCTAAAAATAGCGCAGCAGAGGAAGGAGAAGAAAGAAGAACTTCAGCAATGTGGCTTTCCCTCTCCTCACCCCCATTATTTCCTCACTCCTCACCTGTGGCACCCACCCCTCCCCTCTCCTCCCCCACCCTCCTCCTCCTCCCCGCGCTAAAAACACCCTTCATCCTCTCGCTGGATGCGTGAGGCGCTGCTCTGTCGGTCGTGCGGTCACGTCGGGGGCGAGCGTGAGACGCCCGCCCGCCCGCCCGCCCGCCGCGTGAGCCGAGAGGAGTCAGCCGACACCCCCTCTGGTCTCCCAAAACCACCGAGCAGGTCCACGTGGACCGGCTGTACGGACGCCGCCGCTCGTACTTGAATGAGAGTCATTTCTGCTCCTCGTGTGACGTGGATGAGAAGGTGTGTGTGTGTGTGTGTGTGTGTGTGTGTGTGTGTGTGTGTGTGTGTGTGTGTGTGTGTTCTGACGTTTAGGGAAAGGGCTCGATCGTGATTCACACACACTTTTCAAAATGGGAAACGAATCAGAAACAGAAATGTTTGCCACTTAAAAACCCTCAACCCATAAAAGATTCCAAGAAACTATGAAGTAAAGCGATTCCTAATTGACGTTAAGTTGAACTTTTCCTCAATAAGGAGAAAGAGACAATTGCTTCATTGAAATCCGTCAGCCTTGTGAGACACATTCCAAAACGCCAAAAGCATGTTCCTGTGGCTTTTTCTGTTTTTAGCCAACAAGCTATGTGTGGAATTTAGCAAAACACTGGGATCCGACTGGGGTCACTGCCTCCCGCGAAGGCGGAGCGGCGCTGGTTTATCGTCTGCGGGGCCCTGGAGCCTGACTGCTGGCGCGGGCCGGCTGTTTGCATCACCGAGCTGTGGCATGACGTCTTGCTCCGCTTACTTCTCCCGGAAGCCGTGAGCCTAACCGGGGCCGAGAAGCACACAGCCAGACAGCTCACGTCGGCCCCCCCGATGGTGGAGGTGTGGGACGGGTCGAGTGGGTGGGAGGACTTAACGTGTCTCAACACAGGTGGGACCATTGCAGATACCTAGAAAGTCCCGCTGTGGCGCTTTAAATATCAGGCCCTGCGTGGCAAATGTTTTACGATGGCATCATGTAAAACGGTGCCGTCCGGTGATGGCGGTGCAATACAGCTTATCTGCTGCGGCTCGCTGGTCAACACTCGCTCCCTTTGTTCGCGAGTCGGACTCCAGTCGGACGTGACTCAGAGGGGAGCGTCGCTCGCCAAAACAATATGAATATTTATCCCTTTGTTGAGTACAGAGCGGAGGTCAGGCTAGCTTAGCTTAGCTTAGCTTAAGTAGAATTGGCCAATGAACTTTTGACATTTTCTCATGCACAGGTTACACGAACAAGACACGACCAAGTTAAAAATACATTGGAATTGCAATTAAACTGATGGATGTTTTGAAACTGCTTTGAAATGCGAACCTGTCTGGTATAAAAACGCATGGTTTTCTGCCGTAAAAGTCAAGCATTCTTAAGCACACATGCAATATTTACTCATGAATGCTTACCAGCTGCAAAATGTCCTCATCCTTTGGCATCACACACAGTTCCAGTGAGGCATCGCTGATAGTGGGAAGGGGGGAGATGATGAACATGAGAGAAGGAGAGAGACAGAAACTATTATGACGCTAACCGACCTGAAGTTGAACTTTGAGTAAAAACTTGTCTTAAAATAAGTCGTACTATTAAATGTTTAGTGCGGGCAATCGTACCTGTTCTGGATCAAAGCTATAACTTGCGAGTAGGTTTTTCCAATGATGCTCTCGCCGTTCACCTTGACTATCCGGTCCCCTGCAGAGGACGGGGGGGGGGGGGATCACAAACCTGCTCTTTAAACCAAAGAAACTAAAGTGATCCGACCTTCAGTCAATGTGGTTATCGACCGAAGAAAAGCACTCGGGAGAAGCTGCGTCCAGCACAAACACACCGCATCAAAGGGAGAATACCAATACGTGTTTATTTGAAGAGCCTAATGTGAAGATCCATGTCCATTCAAGCTTTGTGAAGATGGCCATCTTACAGGAAGAGAGGCGAGGTGAGTTTAGGGGAGAAACCAGATAATTGTGGGAACACTGCACTCTCTTTTCCCAGGAGAGGAGAGCGAGCAGATAAAAGGAGACAGTTTAGACCACTTAACACTTCCTGTAACACACGGGGCCGATGTGGCCATGACGCGGGTTTCTCTGCAGAAGTATTTCTCTTCTCATTTCCTCGCTGCTTAAAATCCGAAGTGATTCACGAGTCAGCAAGACAGAAAGTAAGTGGGAGACGGAATCAAGGAGAGGTTGTAATAACACAGTGCATGTTACACTTTGTTCAGCCTCCCACGAAAGACCCATCTGTTATTTTGTAACTCGTATCTGTTTGTCCTGGCGGGGAACAAGGAAGCGGGAATCACCGACGGAGCAAACGTGAAGAAATCTTGGCGCTTTGAGGTGAAATGTGAGACGGGACGAGGTAGTCGGAAGACCAGCCGGTCATAGAGACGGTGTGTGTGTGTGTGTGTGTGTGTGTGTGTGTGTGTACCTGTACAGAGTCCAGCTCCGTGGGCGGGGCCTCCCTCCTTCACTTGCTTGACGAAAATGGTGTCCATTGGCTCCAGACGGTTCCGCTGTCGCCCTGGCAACAGGAGAGCACACAGTGAGGAAGAGCGAGGCCAGATCGCATTGCCTCCGCTACACACCCCCACCCTCTCCACACAGAGGAACGTCCCCGTACATCCCCAACGCTCGGTCTCCTGATGCTGTGGGACGTGTCCTGAGCTGCGGAGCGAGGAGAGGCCGCGGGACGTCGTGCCGTGCTGAGAGCGTGGGTGGAAATCTAGAGGAGGAAGTCCAGCTAATCAAGACGAATGCATCATATGTGATTGAGAGCAATTACGCGCACGCATTAAAGAGGGAGCGGCCGTGTTGGTGCGACCAATTAGGACGGCGAAAAGACTGCAAAATCGTCTTTAAGCCTCCGTCTCAGTTGGCCTCAGCTGCTTCTGAGAGCTCGGAGGCTTCGTTGCATCAGAGCCCCCCCTGCTGTGTTTTTCCCCTGGGGGGGCGCCGCCGGAGTGCGCACGCTCCTCCCGCGGAGACGCCCCGCTTCTCGTCCACACAGACGCAGTCGGGACCATCGGGGGGCGTGAGCGGCCCTGAACAGCTGGACCGCAGCTGAGGAGCAAACCTGACAAAGAGGCGAGAGCTGTTTTGGGATCAGTTTCCTCGACGTGGTCCAGGAATCCGAACCGGACTCTGGAAGACCTTCTCCCTCAGAATCCTGAGCTGCTTTGGGTTCATGTTGCTGCTGAGACGCTGCCGTGTCTGCTGAGATGATTCATTCTGTGAGGACCGCTTGTCAAATTCACTCCGCTGCCTCCCCCCGGTGGCCCAAACCGTTACTGCAGACTATTTCAACGAGCGCAGTTAAAACCATCTCCGTCCGATTAAAGTCAAGAGCACATAAAGTGAGTTTAAACAAACACTCGAACGGACTCCAGCATCACTTTGCTTGGCTTTGCCGGGAGGACTACAAGACGAAAGGTCACAGCTTCGACCCCCGTCACCGGCGGCGGGCCCTGAGGGCGAGTCACACGGTGTTTGGGTGTCAGACACACTCTAGGTCCGACAGATGTTCAGCACAGCTGCAGGCTTGTTCTTCACCCAGTAGAAGGCAGTGCAGCACATGTTGTGCTCCTTCTGAGTGAACAGGATCAGACTTATTCTACTACTTATTCTACTACTTCTACTTTTTTGCATGACAAAAGCTTCACACGCATATGAAGAGAAATAAATAAGTAAATGCCCTCGCAGGCCGTCACAGAACATGATGTGTAATGTTACCGACACACCGTAGGAAACCAGAGGTGAAGGTACAGATGTTAACAAAGCCCCATAACACCCCCCCGCCCCCCCCCCTCGTTTCCTCTGGGTACTCGGCAAAGTCCCAATCATGAGCCAATCTCACCGAGCTCCCATTCGGCTGCACAAATTGGATCTCTGGATGTTTCCGTGTCACGCAGCTGGATGAACCGGATTAAATGTGAAAATCTAAAGCTCTAAATATTATTATTTTGTTTGACCAAAGCATCAGCTACTGTGTGGATGCAATGCACCCGCCTGCCTCTGAACGGGAAGTGGTTCGTTCACACCACATCTGCTTTGGTAAGCAGGTGCTTGAGGCAGATCTCGGCCTAAAATCAGTTCAAATTACAGTAAAGATATGTGCAGCTCCCCACATCAACGCCGCTCAGTAACTTTAGGTGGACTTCTAGCCAGTCAAACTGCTGTTGTGGAAACATTTGACTGTAAAAAGCAACAAATGGCCTTGTTTGTTTGTTTGTTTGCTGGCTTCAGCTCCGAGCACAACCACGCCTCAAATTTAATTACATATGAACGTATACATGGATTTTTTTCCTTACTGTGCGTTTTTTGCGTCTCTGATCTACTGTAGTTGTTACGGAGGGGGGTGGGGGGGGGGCTGGGCCCGCTCACTGCATTAACCCCCCCTCCGCCCGTCTGTGTGAGCCTGGCATCTGGATGCAACCTTTACAGATGTGCTTCTTGGCGCTGAAGAGAGGAGCGGCGTGTGTGTGCGCTGCGATGGCTGTCGCCGTCGGCTCCCTTCCAGCGCAGGAATCAAGTGCACTTTACATAAATCCATAAAGTCCAGCTCCCTTCAAAAGGAGGTTGTTCACTGCAGAACTCGTCCTCGGGAGAAACCGGAACCGCTCGGCGGCGTCAGGAAAACGCGGGAGTGGAACTCGGCCTCCGCCCCCCCCGCCCCCCCGTTCCCATGAAGAGGAACGCGCCAAGCGCAACTCTGCTCAGGAGGCTTGAACTCTGCTAAAACAACCTGCCTGGTCTCCAGGAAACACGCAATAAACCCACAACCGCGACCTCCGGGTCAACCTCAAAGGCCCCGGCTCTACAGACAGCCGTTTGTCCTCACGTGTAGGCATGTTTACAGCATGTTCCACGCAGCGGTCACAAAGAAAATACGTTATATTGACCGAATTATCTTTTTTTCGGGACCTGCATCAAATGTGTAAAAAGGTCTGAAAACAATACGTATCTCATCTTTTACGAAGCGCGGCTCGCGAGGAGGATTCATAAGTGCTCGTTAATTGTTAATGAGGCAAACGGCAGAAAGTCGGTGTGTCAGATGATTGTTTCCTATTGTAACAGAGACACATGTGGAAAGATATCGTGTACACAAGAATGTGTGAAACGCAGCAGCGCTGCATTCCTGCAGGGTGAGGATCGTTTCAAAATAAGTCATTTCCTGGACTGAAACGCTGTTGACCTGAAAGACACACGGCTGACCGACATCACAACACACACACACACACATGCACACAACTGGTGTTTTTACAGCACAGACAGACAGGAAGCTGGATGAGAACTTTCCATCCACTTTTTTGCTCTATGAATTCCAAATACCAAAAGAGAGGATATACTAACCACACCAACAAAAAAAATAACTCCAGTGTTTTGTTTCTGTGAAAATAGTCAAACTTTCTGGGAAACAAGTGACCAACGTCTGGAACCAGCTGATTTCAGCCCAAAATACAGCTTTAAGCCGGAAAGCTGTCACTTCTTTCCCGCCTCGGCCAAATAAAAGGGAGAAATCCCCCCAAAAAAGTCTTAAAACAAACAAACAGAAAAGTTAACCGAGGGGAATAAATGCTCGATTGCATTTGGATATTTGCCTAAAAAGCTTTTATGACTTCAGACTCAACGTTCATCGAAGTCAACAAGTTGTCACATTTACAACCACTGACGCTCGACACGAAAGAGGCTGTCGGGAATTCCGAGCGCGGGCAGAATCGAACCGCAGTGAGATTCAGCGTCGGAGATCACGTATTGGACGGATTCGAGCTGCAGTCCGGCAGGAGAAGAGGCCCAGACGGAGAAAGAAATGCAGAGAGGTTCGAGGCAAACGTTTCGGAGCGGGCTCGAGTTAAAGAAGGCGGGGCGGGGCGGGGGAAGAGCCCACCGGAGAGACCCGGTGGGATTCTGTTTGCTTGTGCTGCCTCGCGCGCCCCGCTGCAGACTTTATGGGAACCAACTCAAATCTGAAAAAAATGGAAACAAAGCAGAGGAGAAGCGTCTCACGCCGAGTGAAAAACAAATATTTAAACAGATGGAGAAGGTTTTCCCCGGCGTTGCCGAGCGCGCCGCCGGATTCGTGAGCGCGGCCTTGTTTCGGACTTCACCCTCCGACGCGCCGCTGACGCGTGCAGCTGGAGGGAAGGAGACACGCGAGGAGGGAGGGAAGGAGAGAGGAAGTGAGATAGAGGAGGAAGATCTGGTATGTAGACAACCGCCGTGAAAGGAAATAAACCCATCCGAACTCTGTGCACTGTGCACCCACATGCTCCGTTTTGATGTTTACGCCTGTGTGTCTACGCCGATGTGCGTTTTCTGTTTTGTTTTCCAGCAACAATAACCAGAGGAGAACGCAGATCTTATGAATGTAAAAAAAAACAACACGAACGCGTTGGATGTTTTATCTCAATCATCTGCGTGTCTCCTCGCGGTATTTCCTGGGGGCTGCGGGGGGCGTGACCGGCAGTGTGCTGGGTGGTCACACAGCAACAATAACAACTCGCAGGCGTCAAGAGAGAAATGACACCACAAAAGCTAAAAAAAACCCCGCAGCTTCCTTCATTTGCTGAAACGTCACTTTTGGGGTTGAGCAACGCGTTTTTTGCCGTAAACAATATTCTGAGAGTGGTTTCTATTATTCCGTTATATAACCTTCACGAGGGATTATGCGAGGATTGGATTGCATTAGTTTCAGCGCGGTGTGTGTTTTATAAACAGTGAGGATCACTGGGAGCCAGAGTCAGATTGGAAGTTGGACACAAATTACAAACAGCATCAGTCAGGTCGTCCAACATGCTGTAATTAGGGGACCAACTGGCTGCAGCCGTAAACAGAAGAGACACTTCGGCACGAGATGAACCGACGTTTGGATCCGTGTTTATCTCTGAGGCCTTTTCTTTATAATAAGATCCAGCTCAGATAAAATGATATTGTGACCTCTAGATTTTAGCATTTTTCTGATAACTCAATTGCTTGTTGAACTTCAATTACTTTCACGGTTGTTTATTTCCATATTCCAACTATGACTTTATACTCTTGTCCCGTGCTTCTCTCTATTCCGGTGTCATTTTGATTCTCATCGTACCGGCTGATCCGCTGGGGCGCTCCCACCTGTCAACACCATCACCTCTGCAGAGAGGGAAGGAGTTATGAGAGGCTCTTTAACGCGTCGACGTGCGTCTCGAATGGGGCGGGTGGACGTGCAGGGGTTAAACAAGGGCGTGTGTGTGGAGGGGGGGGGGGGGGTTGGTTAAGGAATGTGACACCAAGGGCCAAGAGGGATGATGAGGGACACTTGCAGGAATCTCTCAATTTCCCGTTGGGAGGCGGACAAAAGGGAGAGAATAATCACCCTGCTCTGACCCCGGGTCCCTCCTTCCCCTGTCCTCTCATGCCGTAACGGTTCCCCGAATCACACCTGCTGGGGCTTTGGCTTCGCAACAAGCCAAACAAACAGCCGCTGACCATAATCTGCTCCCCTTTATTACAAACAGAAAACGCCGCAGCTCCTGCCAGAAAGGTATCGGCTTGTTTTTCAAAAAGAAACCAAAGAGGCCAAACGGCGAGTTCACGTGAGAAAACGCCATCGGAGGTGAAGTGGACGTTTATTCCAACAAGAGCGCCGAGGATTATTTCTCTTAGACCTCTTTGTGTTGCTGTTCAGCCTCGCGCGCACGGACACGCGAGGCTTCAGATGCATTCTGGGACACGGACGGAGAAGCAGCTGTCGTTTACACACCAGGGTCAAATGAGCATATTTATGAAGCTGTCAATCGGACTGTCAACGCTGATGTCACGTTCAGACCCGCCTCCCTGAGGAGTAGGAATAAATAACAGTGACGGGGTGTCGATCTTAATTTGATCTCTATTTGGGGGGGGGAGACGATTGGTTTGCGTGTCGTTCGTATTCCGACACCTGAGGTTCCAGATCACAGATGCATGCTGGGAATTCCCAAGAGAGGAAATGAACACTCACCTCGGCTGCCGTTGTCTTCATCCTGGAAGAGACAGAGAATAGATGAGGATGGTTTGCGACGAGAATCTCTTTTTTTATCTTTAGCGTCAGTATATTCACATGCAGACGACGCAGCACAGTTGAAGATAATGATGAATATCAGTTCATAACATATTGCAAAAAATCCATTTCATTATTGATTGATCATTTGAGTTAATTAGCATGCGCTATAAAATGCACGGATTTGAGCATCTAAAATGTAACATTGTCCAGCTTTTCTATTCCATATTTCCAAACATTTGGGTTTTCAGACAAAGCAAGTTGAAGACATGACCTCTGACTTTAACCACAAAAAGTTGCTCCTAACTCAGTTTTAACAAATAAGAAAAAGGGTCGTCGATACATAAATAACAGTTAGGCGATAATATATCAGTGTTTTGTAATCAAAATAATTCTTGGTTTCGTCCCTTGCATAAATCTCAGCAATGTGCAAAGCATTAGATTATCCACAGAAAAGTGTTTATTATCCTTTGACACTATTAAAACTGTTGTGGTAAAAATCCACAGGAGTTTTTTTTTCTTCTTTTCCTCACATTAAAAAAAACGTAATTTCCCTCCGAGTGCCAGTTGGAATCTGCACGCTCAGTGACACATGTTCTCCACGTAGCCTTAAAGTCTCCCTGCTCTCCCGAAGCTTTGCTTAAGACGCTGTGACCCTCGTCCAGCTGTCCCCAATACCCTCCAACCGCGATTAATCAGCAGTCCGATCCAAGACCCTGAGAGCACTTACAATGCATCAGACCTGACGGAGTTTATTATACTATTATTATTATTATAATATTTCCCAGAATCCCTTCTTATTATAAGAAGGTGACTCAACGCAGTCGGCTCAAAGTCAAAACAAAAAGTAGTTCAACTTGTGTAGTTTTAATTGTTTTTACATGAATAAATGAGAATAAAGCCCACGTGTTACTCAGCAGACTAAAAGCCATATTCCGCTTTGTCAGAAGTGTTTTAAGTTAAGTTTCCTCCCTTCGTTTTCACAGCGCATGCGTCCCACGCTGGACTTATTGTCCCGAACGAGACGGGACGCCTCCGGGAGAGACTTTCTATCGCTTTGGTTACACAAACGTCTTCAAATCCAAACTGTCGTGCCACAGATTCCCTTTCAACGTGCAGAACGGAAGCCAAAGGCTACAAACAGCAGAACCTCTGCGTCGGAAATCCTCTTCTGCGAACCGAAGAGCTCGTCAAAATAGACTCCAGAGGAACGTAAACCAGCGTTATCGTGAATTATCACGGGAGTCGGGAGGCAACGAGGGGCTCAGAGAAAAGCCGAGACGAAACACCGGCTCGTCGTACCGTTAAAGAAGCTCCGTGGTCGTCAAGCAAAGCCCTTCAGCCGGGGCCCATTAGAGGCGCGACTTCTGTCACATCAGGATTAAAACCAAAGGGCTGATTGGTGCAGATGTTTTCCACAACACGGCTGGCACATTTCCCAGGTGGGATCGCGCAAGTGAGGGAGGCTCTGGTAAAAAAAAGAGAGCCTCCTCGCATCACCAGCATGACATGCTCGCACAAAAATAATAAAAACCCTGTACTGGTCTACAGATTGAACATTGATTATATGCCCCGTTCGCTACACACTATGGATCCCATTTAGCCCGAGTTGCCTACGCTGTATCCAAATCCTCTGGGCGTCACCTTCAGGGAGTTGTGGACGGCGCTCTCCGGCGGGTAGACGATGAAGTGCCGCAGCGTGAAGCCGAAGCCCTGCGAGGTGCGCCGCAGGCGGAGCGTTTTGGGTCCCGGCCAGGAGAAGGGCTCCTCGTCGGGCCCGAGGGAGGCCACGGCCGACGCCTCGCTCTGATCGCGCCCATCCTTCTGCTTGGCCTGAGAGGAGGAGAAACCAAGGGGGGGGGCGTCAGGGTCAAACAATCAGCTGCAGGAAGCCAGTTAGCTTAGCTTAGCACGAGGATGGGAAAGAGATTCTTTGTTTGAGGCAGATTGTGTTACTTTCGGACATGCTAGGTATTTCTCCCCATTTCCTGTGTTTATGCTAAGCTACGCTAACAAGCTGTGGGCTTTAGCTTCATGTTTTGCATACAGATTTTAGAGAGAAACTGATCTTCTCAAATTTCAACTCTTAACCGTGCATTAAAATAAACCCGAAAGAAAGAAAGAAGAAGGATCTTGATGAAGATAAGACAACACTTTACAACAAAGAAAATCAAATGAGGTTGTGAAAATAATGACTTACAAAGAACAATCAATCAATCAATCAGGTCGAGGTGATTCTGCTCAACAAAAGGTGTCTTTTTGTCGACCGGGTTGACTTTGCTTTTATGAGTACGGTGTCGGAAAAGTCAACAAGAGGGTTTGTACCGTTAAAAAGTTGTTTCAGCAACATAAATCCACTGTGACGCACAATGTGACACATTCACCAGAAGCCGTTGATTAAGGCAGGAGGCCGAGCGCGCAGATAAAAAAACAACTTCTCCCCAGATGAAAACCGTTAAGCCGTTTAGTTCCTACGTTGTGGTTCATGTCAGCGATCACAATATCTATCAAAATAATCAGGGTCGTCGTCTAAGCCGCGCTGTGGTGCCGCGAGCTCCACACGGCCGCGCATATGGCTTCACTTATTGCACATCGGGGCTTTCGCGGGGCTGTTTGGCGTGTTTGCACGATGACAGACCGATCTCCGACATTCCTACTGTGACTAACACGGGATGAAAACAAGCCGTAAGTGCTGGCGGCTCGCAGCTTGAGGAACATCACATTCATGCCTACACAACACAACACAACAAACGCTGAAGCCAACAAAGTGAGAGAGCAACAACGCTGAGAACAATTGACCCGGGACTCTGAATCGGCTTTTGTTCGATTCAGTATTCCCAAAGCCTCTGCAAGGACTTAACGAGCCAGATCTATAACCCCACAGCCAGGAAGCAGGAACCCTTCAATGAGTGTCAATCAAAAGGCCACAAAGAGCAGTGAGACCTCCGTCGCCTCATCCTGGTGATGACGGACGCTGCACCAACGGCCTCTCCTCCTCCCAAAACACACCCCCCGCCCCTCCGCTCCGCCCGCCTGGCGGCAGCAGATGTGGGGGCCTCCGGAGGGAGCGTGATGGGCGTCGACTGGTGAAATCAGCGCCGACGCCCAGCGGCGCGCAGCTGGACGCGAGAGGAGAGCGACGCCGCTTGTTTCGAATCGCATGCCGGAAATGTGACGTCACCGCCGAGCCATTTTGGCTCTAATGCCCCCTGGGAGAGGAACTCACACACACACACACACACACACACACACACACACACACACACACGCGCGCCTTCTCCTCATTGGGTTAAAGCAGCAGCAGCAGCCATACTGTAGATGTGCAGCCATACTGTAGATGTGCTCCCGATAAGCTCACACTACCTGTAAGTAGGACTGGATTCTGCATGCAGCCTGCGTGCAGAACAGCCAGCAGCACGTGCACGCCGAGGCCTTTGATCTGCGCGCCGCCATATGGTGCCGCGGCCCGCGGGCTGGTGCAAAATGCACTGCGGCGTCTCCATATCAGAGCAGCGCATTTGAATGGCATCGTGGACTCTGCACTTTCGCGGCTGAGCTTTGTTTTTGTTTTTTTTAAAGCGCGCGAGTCACGCCCGGGACGTCTGACCTCATGGCTCTACCTCTCTCGCTCTCTTTCCAAAGTCCTCTCCCTGTCCGACCGCAGGCTTCAGCGTTAGTCACACTCGTTCGCTACGCAAGAGGAAAATATGTCTTCAGCTGCCTCCAACAGGAGGAGACCTCAGTCCTCACGGAGCCGTGGCAGAGGGAGGAATTCTAAAATAGGCACAGCTGGAAAATAAATGTCCTCTTCTATTGACAGCTTACGGCAAAGTGTCATCCTGAAACTCCGAAACGGGTCCAACAATAAATGCAACCTTAGAGCAGAGCCGCGCTCACACTAGAAGAGATATCGGCCCGTGAAACAGGACCTCACCTCTGGAGAGCAGGATGACGCACACTGAATTCCTCTGACTGCACAAGCAGGGGAAGCCCCCCCGACCCCCCCTCCTCCTGTCAAATGCTTCCTATGTAAACGTTTACATCGCTCCCAGACACCGATATCGCCTGAACGCACCCCCCCACCGAGTCAGAGACAACCGGAGCGCAGCCTCCCTACGTCGCAGGGATGCTCTCCGTCTTACCCGAGACCGGACACAGTTCCTCCGGGAGGCCTCCCTGAGGCGAGCCCAGGACACGCTGCGGCGCGGCCCGCCGAGCCCCAGCTCTACCTCGCCCCAGTAGGCTCTGGCCAGGAGCTGGAACTAGAGGCAGTACGGCTCCGACAGGCAGCTGTCCAACCCGGCCAGCCGGGCTCAGGGGCACTCTCCCGACGGCGGGGAGGGCGAGAGGGAGCAGCACCTCTCGGCGGCGGCGGCGGGGGGGGCGTCCACTTCCCGGGGGTCCGTGGGCCCTTTCAGGGGAGGGGGCGTGCACCCGGGCGCCCCCCCTTTCTTTTGACCCACCATGGCATACCCGGGGGGGGGGGGGGGGGTTGGAACGAAGAAGGCGAAAGCTATCCGTCCTTCGGCTACTCCGCGGTTCCGGGCGAGTCCACAGCGCGTCCCCGTCCTCCCGCCGCCCGTCTCCGGCTGTCTGTTCTGCTCTGGGTCCGGGGGGAAACGGGGCTGTTGTTCTGGGCGTCCCGCAGACACATGATGTTTCCACTGGGCCGGCAGGAGAGCAGAGCGCCTGAGTGCGCCGCAGAGAGCCGACGGACTGACGCACCCGCCCACTCGGCACACGAACCTCTCAGCCGACACACACACACACACACACACACACACACACACACCAGGCGCCCTGAAGAGAATTCTCTGCCTGTCCCGCCTCCTCCATCGCTCTGGACGCGCTGGAAACCGTTTTAGCTTTAATGTGCCAGCCAGCGTGTCAACGCTAATCAATAAATCATAAGAACAGATTTCAGGAAGGAGGAGAAGCGACGCACACACACACACACACGCAGTCTTAAAAAGGTATGTTATTATCAGGCATATTCCCAAAAGGCATTTTATGGCAGGAAACACGAGCGGGACGGAGTCAGTCGGGAACAACTGGGCTTGTTTTCACAGCCTGCGGAGGTGATACAGATAAGGAAGCATGTGGGCTCTATAGCGAAAACTAAAAGGCACCAAATATCCACCGTCCGTCCCACCGCCTGCCTGCTGCTCATCTGGGGCCGACGCCTGGGGGGCGGTCGAGCATGAACAGGCGTATTTGTTTGCTTGTTTGTTTGTTTAAGGGCCCCCGTGTGGACGGACGCGGTTCCATGAGGACAAGCAGCGCAACACGTGTAATCTACGCGCGGCGTGCAGCGCTCGCCCTGCTTAGGCCGCTGTTTTGTTTTATCGAGAAAGGGTTTAATTAAACGGACGTGCCAAATAAAAAGACAGATGTTGGAACAAAGGATTCCGGTCATTTTTGTGACAGGTGCAGCCCAACGACGGGGTTTGCTGTTATTCTGATACATCGCTTCACTCCCAATAATCGGATTTGATTTAAAGGATTCTTTATTATTTAGACAGAGATTCTTCTACAGAATTTATGGAAGGTTTTCAACTATAAATCGGCCGTGATGACACAGGCGTCTCCTCTCCTCTGTTGGCTGATTTTTATTTTTTTTTCAGCTTGATTGACATCTCCTTTGTTGCATCTGTCAGGGCGGGACAAGCGTCTCCGTTACCGTTGTTATTCTTTCCTGGTCCTGACCCCGAACGGTCCCGGTCTCGTCTCCACCTCTGGTCTTCATCATGACGGAATCTGGTCTTCATCATGACGTGGCTTGTGGGCTTAGGCGGCCTCGACTGCGCCGGCCGTCACAAAACCAGGAGATTAAATGTTCAACCGCTCAAACTGTCTCACGATGGTCGGAAAGCAGCTCGACCAAGTCGGAGAAGCCCATCCTCCTCGTCTCTGTGGACGATGTGCTCGGAACTAGAGCCCGTCGATCTGCCCTCCACAAGGTGCGAGCGCCGCACTCGCCCCGCCCCCGTAGGACCGCCCCCTCGCTCCGTCGAGGTCAGCCAAACTCGGCCCTCCCTTCGAACGCCGCCCCGACGGCTTTCAGTAAACCTCTCATGTGGAGAGCGCGGCCAAAGCCTCCATTTAATATTTAATCACATTTTCATCTCAGGGCTCTGTTGCTAAACGTTGTCCCTGAAACGGCCTTTCTGTGCGTTTCAAATTACAGCACCTCGCCGTGTGTCCGTGGGGAGTCACATTTCGGGATAATTTGATAATGTAATGTGATAATCGGGGGTTCACCGGCTCGCTTTCCAACTACGGACAAAGCAGAAGAGAAGATGACATCATATCGGCCTGCTGTGACTGTGAGGGATATTTACGCGACCCGAGGCGATGAAAAAACAACACGGGGAACCCAGCGGAGGAATGCTCGGCCGTGAGCGTCCCGTCACGGTGGCACTGGGACGCCCCGGCTGAGACGCTTGAGTCGCGGGGGGGGACAAAACAGGGCCGGTTACGTGTTGCGACGGTTCGCTGCACATGGACAAGTGAATTTGTTGAAATGTCTTTTTTTTTTGCACGCAGCTGCTTCCGAGCTCCTCTGACACATTTCCCACTGTGACCCACATCACGTACGTCTCCGCGTTCCTGTAAATCTAAAACACGTGAGGAGAAAAAAAAACAGCGATCCCTCAGTGGAATTGAAGTTGGCAATGAAGTGGATTTCGGTGCCATGCAGACACGAAAACTAGGCAGCCCGCCCCGACAAATATTGTGCTGTCGTCGTGGCAACGGACCACGCCACAACAGTGCCGGCCGCCGGGGGGGGGGCCCCGGTGTCTCCTCCCCGGGTGCCGCTCGTTCCTCAGCGT